AGTATGTATTAGCTTGTGAAATTTAATACAATTTGTAAAATATCATGAATGATTTCTTTAAAATTGAACTAAACATAAATTTAAGAAAATTGAGGACAAGGTCAAAGGAAATTTCAAGGTCAAAAATGTTAAAGCAATTGATAGCTCTCATCACTGTGTATCAGGATGTTTAGGGCCAGTGGTTCTTGAGAAGATTTTAAATATTTTTCTATATATAACTTTGCTTTCCTATCAGTGGCCCCGCCCTACCAAGTGGATCACGATGTGAACAATTTAAATTCTACACTATCCCAGGATACTTCCAAATAAGTTTCAGCTTTTCTAGTCCCGTGGTTCTTGAGAAGAATAATTACCCTAATTTTATCTTTTCTTGATTATCCCCCCTTCTAAGGAGGTTTAGCCCTTTTTACAATTTAAGCTTCCCTTCACATAAGGATGCATTGTACCAACTTTGGTTGAAATTGGCTGAGTAGCTCTTGAGAAGAAGTTGAAAATATGGAAAGTTTACAGAGTGATGGAGAGGCAGACAATTGACGGACATAGGGAGATCAGAAAAGCGCCCTTGAGCTAAAAAAAAAAAAATTGCGATCAAGATTAAAAAAAAAGTCAAGGTTAAACAATGTTGATGCAGTTAATAGCTTTCATCAGTATGTATAAATACATGTGCATGTACATTGTATATGAAATTTGATAAAAATGTTTTGAATGGTTTCTTTAAAACCCAGTTTAACACTTACTTAATAAAAATGAGATCACTGTCAAAGGAAAGATCAAGATTAAAAATATACTGATGCAATTCAATTGCTTACATCAGTATGTATCAGCATTTGAAGTTTGATTTCACGATCTTGAATGTTTTCTTTAAAACTGCGCTTAACACTAATTTAAGAAAAGGTAGGTTAGGGTCAAAGGAAAGATCAAAGTCGAAGTTGATTAGTTTACATCAGTATATGTATCAAAATATGAAATTTGATTACACTGTCTTTTATGTACAGTGTATCTTTAAAATTGAGCTAAACGCTAATTTAAGAAAAGTGACGTCAGGGTCAAAGGAAAAGTCAAGGTCAAAATATGTTCATGCTGTTAAATAGCGCTCATCAATATCAACATAGGAAGTTTGATAAAAATATCTTGAATAGTTTCTTTAAAATGAGCTTTGAACTGAGCTTAATGCTAAGCGGGACAGAAGGACAGAAGACGGACATGACAAACTTTATATGTCAAGGCCATTTTCATGGCGGTGCATAAAAATTACTAATCTAATACTTATATTGAACGTAGTAGCCGACATACTGAACGAAATGACGGAATGATGCACTATACAAAACTAATGAATTCGCTGAATTGTGGACAATACCCAATTAGTTATTTGGATATACTTCAATTACATCCGAAAAGTACACAATTTTCATTCTATTCAGACCAACTCTGCATCAACATGATTGATACTGTGTATTTACCGGATGCATCATTCAGGCGAGGCATGTATTTTTCTAAGGACATTGAAAATGGAAACATAATTATAATAGTAGCTCAAAAAAATTTGATTTTATCACTGATTACTGATGAGGAAAAAGAGAAAGAAAGTTCGCCAGGTAACTGGTTAACATACATAAGAAGAGAACACTTGCTGTAGACTTCAGCTCGACGAAAAGATATATGGACGACGTTTTATCAATTAACGATAGTTACTTTCATTCAAATGTCGATTCAATATATCTCAGTGGACTTGAAATTAAAAGACACTAAAGAGTCTGACACATGTATTAACTAGAAAAAGACGTTAACGGTAACCTAACAGCACAAGAGGCCCATGCATCTACACTACCTGAGGATGCCTCTGTAAATCTGTGACTAATTATGGCTTTGCTGTTTTAGATCTTTTTATGCTGATTCCTCTATATTCTTGTGAAAAACTTAAAATTGACACAATACCTAAGGGTTATACAATATTTTCTTTTACTTTGTCTAAATGATTGGAACGATTATTGAGACTTTGCTCAAGAGTAAATCGACCGATATTATGACCCCGACCTACTGTCGGGAAAGCGTGATGACGCACTTTTATTCTTTAGTAATTTAAAAAGATTCCTTTTTTTACGAACATTCTTTTCAAGGAACGCTCTGAAACTCCAGCCATCATAATGGTTGCCCTGACCATACTTAAGCATTTTTTGTTAAGTTTGTAGAAGGTAATAAAAAATCGTTCTTTAAAAATGTGAGCATGATTTTCGAATGGTTTCGTTTCAGTCCACATTAATCTCATTAATCAGTTTGATCATACAATGTTTCACTTTAAATCTGGTCACATATTTTTGATAATTAAGGTACTAGTATTTTTGCTTTCTCAAATGATGCATTCACAATTTTGTTTCGAGTATATTTTCTTGAAAAAAATGAATGATTTTCTCAGCGAAAATGCAAGCGTGTCTAGCGAAGATCATGGGACCAATTAAATTATTTTAAAATTGTGACAGAGATGCCAAGCGGAATCTCTGGTAAGAGATAGATGCAGCGTGGACATTAAGTACTTTCCTTTAAGATGCGTTTCTCTGTTGGAGAAAGAGGATGAAAGAAGTTGGGGAACATATTGTTTTTACTCTGTTTCTTATTATTATTATTATTATTATTATTATTATTATTTTTCTTCTTCCTGGGAAAATTTTGTCCACGAGTGATGTAAACTACACATCCGACTTAGGTGAAACCTTTTTTTAGAGGCATGTTATGTAGAGTTGCCAAACAAAGGTATTTTGCGCGCACTCTCTGCATTAGGTGAAATTACTAATATAATGGATATTGTCGTAACTTTTCTATTTTTTGATGAAATTTTTTGAAACTCATAATGTAATGATACATTAGTGGTATAGACAAGATAGCATGGTCAAAATAGCAAGATTTCACGCGCATGCACGTGCGCTTTGCTCTGATTGGCTGAAACTAAAGCTTGTTTCTTGTCATAATCTTAGTCCTACATTATAATGTTCTACCGCATGATATATAAGAATTTTCATGAAATGCATGTGCGTGTGCTCTGAAACTTTAAATGGCTATATCTCCTTTGTTTTTTGACGAAATTCGTTGAAATTTAAAAAGTCATGCATTGGGATATCCTACAAAATGTATAGAAAAATATCATGAAATTAGCATGCAAGAAATTTGATCGGCTGAAACTTTAAATTGCTATTTCTCCTTTGTTTTTTGACGAAATTCTTTTAGTCATACATTAGGATTTCCTACAAAATGATATTAAAAAAATCATGAAATTACGCGCATGCATGTGCTGAAATTGGCTGAAACTTTAAATGGCTATAACACCCTTGTTGATTTAGAACATAGATAGATGTAAGGGACTCCTACAAGAAGGTATGATCATCATGCACATGCACGCACGTGCGTGCATTTAATTGAAAGACAAGATGATATGGTCATAACACATGCTTTTGCAATGTTAAAAATTGAATATAATTGGTATCCTTCTGGAAAAACGTTGTTAAAGTCAAAAATGCACAGAGTTTGTTTTATTTAATGAAGCTTACAGGGAATATGGCAAGCGTTTGAACATCTGTAACGGTTCCCGTTACAATTAGCACTAGTCTTGAGTATGAATTACTAATTTTGAATAGGAGTTGCTAGCTCTCTCACAGTAAGAATTGATCTCTTCAAGTGCAAATTGTCCTCTTTTGATTTCAAGTTGCGCTTGAAGTATGAGTTGCTGTCGTAAAGTGAAAGTCGCTGTCTTCGAGTGTGAAATGCAATCATTAGGAGTTTTACGTGTAAAGCTGTATGATAAATGTGATGACTTAAATTTTTCAGTCGTCAACTTCCCTTACTTATGCAGAAAAAAACCTTTATTACTTGCATATGGTGTTTATATTTCTCGGTTGATTCGATACGCAACAGCATACTGTTCGTATGTGCAATTTCTAAAAAAAAAGGTAAATAATTGACAAACAAGTCGATGAAAAAAATATCAGCAGTCTCGTTTAAAGTCTTCATTTCGTAAGTTCTAAGGTCGATTCAATGACATTGTCAGCAAATACAATTTATCATTGAGCCAAACTGACGTTTTCCTTACTTATTGTTAGGCCATTACTTACACACTGAATTGTCGACAGATTTTTCCTTTATTTCCCGATCGTGACAAGGAAACATTGCGGGTGTGACCGGTCAGCAGGGGATGCTCACTCCTCCCTGGCACCTGATCCCACCTCATATGTTTTGGAGGTCCGTGTTTGCTCTGCTAAGATTTTGTATTGTTAAATGGATTTTTGAGCTTGAATACTGTTCGTTATCTCCATATAGGTCATCTTGGTCATTCTTGATAGAGACAAATCATTAATTGTAGCATCTATTTATCACTTTATTCATGTATACTGTAAAGAAAAAAGACAAAAACATGAAGCATGGTTCCTTTACATACTTTACTGATTTGGTAGCGTGATACTATTAAACAAGGTTTCGGGATAATCTTGAACAAGATGCAAGAACTACAATGGTATTTAACCAAGTTTTTGTCCAAGAACCAAATGCAAGCTATGACTAAATAGCACAACACCATGAGCCCTGTTATCAATTATATCACGCCCATATTTTTAGAAACGAGAAAGAAATATATTTATTTTTTTCCATAAAACACAAATTGGAAAAAATGAACTTATGTCTATTACAGTTACCACAACCGAACAGCCTCAATTTGACATAATGTTTTATTATCATAAAGAAATCATAAGATGATAATAAACACTCTAAAGATAGCTCAAAACGTTCCATTCGAACGGGAAATTTTACCACTTCAATGCGCTTCATTGTATCACGAATATTTATTTTTTTCCATTTGGAAAAAATGTATTCTTGCCCAGCCTAGACATAATTAGGCATTATCATCATAAATCTGTTCATCGACTTTCCTATTAAGCCCCCAACCTTCCAAAAAGGAGGGAGAACGGAAAACATTCCAAGGTTTCATTACCTTCCTTTAGTAACTGTTATTGTTACAAAAGAATTACATATGTTTATTTATATATCACAATCCTAAATGGAAACTTACAAAACAACATAAGCACAACACATTGACCAATTAACATTAAGTGCAGAAATTAAAAGTACATGTACAAGGAAATTCCCATTACAAATGTTCAACGTAATGTCCGCCATTTCCATTATATGGAGGGTTCTCTCTAGTTTTCCTTCCGGAATTTAATAGTCATTAATTCATTTTTTACTAAAAAAATTTTGGTTTCAATCCTGCTATCAAAGGTAACTGCGAGAAGAACTCGATGAAAACAATGGCGCATCCCTTAGAGTCACATGGCATCTGGGTGATCCTCCTTAAAACTACGAAGGAGAGCTTTTTTATTTTCACTTTTAAGTAGATTTTCTAATTCCTGAAGCTCCAATTCTTTTGCCTGGTAATAAAAACATGAATTAAAATATTACTTTTTGGCGATATCAGTTATATCTGCACATATTTTACGACAAGAAAGACATTATCATATCTTCACCTTTAATGTTCGCATTAATGAATGTTTCCGTTTGAGTTTCTCTATACCATCAGCAGACATTTCGTCTGATAATCCTTCCTGTGGTAATATAGCGCTAGTTCTCTGTTTCCTTTTGTCCTTGCCGTCAAAAGTAAGCTGTTCCTTGTGAATATTATCCATAAGGCGAGTCAAATCACCTGCACTCCTAGAAATCTCTCCTGAACTAGTAATCATGTTCTCTGTTAAACGAAAACAATCTAATAAATTATGAAAAAATGCACGGAAAATCACATAATTTTTAATCAAGGTAGGTAAATATGTAAAATACAATCATGGTTTTACATAAAGTTTAAGCCATCTAGAAAGTTGAAATCTTGTAAGTTGAAAGATATGTGTTAATGTTAAATCAGCACATCTTCGTTCAACCTTTACAGGTCAACTGACTGGTGCTCTGTCCTACACTGTTAAGTGACGCCATACTTACCGGTGCTCAGTCCTACACTGTTAAGTGACACCATACTTACCGGTGCTCTGTTCTACACTGTTAAGTGACGCCATACTTACCGGTGCTCTGTTCTACACTGTTAAGTGACTCCGTACTTACCGGTGCTCTGTCTTACACTGTTAAGTGACTCCGTACTTACCGGTGCTCTGTCCTACACTGTTAAGTGACGCCATACTTACCGGTGCTCTGTCCTACACTGTTAAGTGACTCCGTACTTACTGGTGCTCTGTCCTACACTGTTAAGTGACGCCATACTTACCGGTGCTCTGTTCTACACTGTTAAGTGACACCATACTTACCAGTGCTCTGTCCTACACTGCTAAGTGACTCCATACTTACCGGTGCTCTGTCCTACACTGTTAAGTGACTCCATACTTACCGGTGCTCTGTCTTACACTGTTAAGTGACTCCGTACTTACCGGTGCTCTGTCCTACACTGTTAAGTGACTCCGTACTTACCGGTGCTCTGTCCTACACTGTTAAGTGACTCCGTACTTACTGGTGCTCTGTCCTACACTGTTACATGACTCCATACTTACTGGTGCTCTGTCTTACACTGTTAAGTGACACCATACTTACCAGTGCTTTGTCTTACACTGTTAAGTGACTCCGTACTTACTGGTGCTCTGTCCTACACTGTTAAGTGACTCCGTACTTACCGGTGCTCTGTCCTACACTGTTAAGTGACTCCGTACTTACCGGTGCTCTGTCCTACACTGTTAAGTGACTCCGTACTTACCGGTGCTCTGTCCTACACTGTTAAGTGACTCCATACTGCTAGCTGTAGACGGATGAAAATCTTCATCAGAACTCTCGCTGTAATATTCATCTAGAAACCAAAAACAATATGATACAAAATTTTATTTGTTCAGCATATTTATAATTAGGAACATTTTGCGCTTAGTCTTTAAATGATAAAGATTCCTGAACTATCATGAACAAGAGGCCCATGGGCCACATCGCTGACATGAGTAACTTTGGCAATGCTGTTCTCAAACAGATTCACCATCTTTTTGTTATGACCTTTTTTACCCAACCCTTCCACCAGGGGCCATAAACAATTGAAAACCTACACTACCCCAGCATGTTTCCACATATGATTCAGCTTTTCTAGCCCAGTGGTTCTTGAGAAGATTATTTAAAGATTTTTCCAATATACTTCAATGTAAAACTTGGATTCCCTGGTGTGGCCTCGCCTTCCACCGGGGTCACGAACTGAACAATTTAAAACCACACTACTCAAGGGTGCTTCAACAATTTAAGCTTTTTCGGCCCTGTGGTTCTTCAATAGATTTTAAAAGATTTTTCCTGTACATTTCAATGTAAAACTTGGATTCCCTATTGTGGCCCCACCCTTCATCAGAGATCATGATTTGAACAATTTAAAATCTACAATACCCCGGGATGCTTTCACATAAGTTTCAGCTTTTCTGGTCCTGTGGTTATTGAGAAGAAGATTTCTAAAGAATTTTCCTACCGGGTAAACCAGCGGTTTCTCAATGTAAAACTTGGATTCCCTATTGTGGCCTACTCTTCCCCCAGGATCATAATTTGAACAATTAAAATCCGTACTATAAAATCCCCTTTACCCAAGAATGCTTTGTATCAAGTTTGGTTAAAATTGGTCCAGTGGTTCTTGAGAAGAAGTTGAAAACCTGAAAATTTTACGATGGACAACAGATGATCAGAAAAGCTCACTGAGCTTTCAGCTCAGGTGAGATTAAAGAAAACAGAGATCATATGCTTCACTAACAACACTTCCAAAAAACTCTTAGCATAGAAACATTTATAGTTATTTTCCTACCAATTATCCTCCGAATAAGGATCTCCGAATTACAATCCAAAAGCAATTGTGGTCACTGCTTAATTCGGAGGTAAGTCACTTTTTTCCGTATGAAGTAACACTGAGATCCAGCAAGATTACATTAGATTCGTATGTATGAAATTTTATAGTATTTAATTACGCTGACATCCAGAAAGATTAAATATAAGTTACTGTAACATAACTATAGGAATGTATCCTGAGTAAATCATCCGTGCAGATCTGGTATATATACAATATTACATTACTTCACAATAGGCTTACTTACAACTTTATAGGCATTCATCCGTATATATAAGCCACAATTTCACCGTATTACAACATTAAAGATGCTGTTGTCCATGAGTCGAACTTTTATGAATAAGCAATATTCAACATGCTGTATAACTTAATTAAGGTCATATTTCTTTGTATAATGTTTCTTTAAAGGCTTTGATACTATAGAATACATTTCACCGAATAAATAACAATCAAAGGACTGTGTGACCATATATCTCTGCATTGTAACATTCAAAATGTTGTGTCATCGTAGGTCATTTTTCTCTGCATCACAACATTCAAAATTCGGTGAAAGTGAACGCTGTCTTTCTATGTATAATATTCAAAATTCTGTATACCTATAGGCCAGATTTTTTACGACAATTACGTGCAAAATGCCTTTTTATTAGTAACTCATATTCAACAAAATAAAATATTTTAAAATTTGCTTTCAAAGTGCTATTATAGACCACGGTAAAAATACCAGTTTGGTAACATTTAAGGTAGGTTACATCGTGGAATTTTCAGAGTGGGAGGCATTGTAGTCTTAAATGCTGCGTTCAATATGCCGCAATATGACCAAGTTAACGGCCTTCAATAGGTCACACTTACTGGTTTTAGTCTGATCTTGTTTGATTACCCTCGGAGGAGAGAAGGATATAGCAGCTAACCCCATCTTATTCATCCATCTAGAACAAAGAAGCCTAACGTTATCACATTTCTTTTAAACAAACTAAATTAATATAATTGTGAACTTTGACATTACTCACAATTCTTGTCCAGAGTGAATACATTCATTTTAAATTGAAAAAAAGGGGGTGGGTGGGTCTCTGAATTAAGTCCACCAACCATGTCCATCGGTTAATTGTTTGTAACTGATATGTTTGTCATGAAATAAATGTTTTGAGAATCTAGACTCTGAATGACATATTTTTTAAGGTTGTACTTGTGCTTGTGTGTTTTGTTGACAGTTATTGATAAAGGTATGCAGTATACAAAATGAATGACTGTTTATAAAATTATCACAGGAATATCAGCATTACTTTTTCATATCTTCTTGTCGCTCCGAGGCAAAAACAAATGATGTACCAGCATTATGAATTTTGAAGGCACTGTAAAGAAAGACAAACAATGAACATCAATAACAGAAAAGTACAGCTTTTTCCAACTTGCGTATTTTCATAGGAGACAGAAAGAACCAAGATATTTTGAAATTTGGATATGAGAAAGCCCTAAATCAATACTGACTGAAGGAGAATTTGAACAAAACAAAATGCATACATGTATATTCTTTAAAGCATTTGAACAAAAGAAAATGCATAAATACAGGATATAATATACACTTAAATAATTTTACTTTTTAAGCAAATAGTAAACGATGAAAATATATAATATGTAAATCTGAGAAAAGATGTGAACTTATACAAGTGTTTGCTATTATAAAAACAATACAGCTGTTAAACAGTTCTCAGATTCAATTTTTATGCCAATAGCTACAACGCTACATGCAAAGAATTATTTGCATTAACATACAGCGTGTCCCTGGAAGTTGATTTATTTACATGTATTAAAACTTAATTAAATCAAGTATAGAAATAGTGAATTCTATTACCTTAAGCTTGCATTAAAATCATATGAAATGGAAAGTTTAAAGACAAAGTTAAATCAGCACCAGAAAATGAAAATGTTAACAACGCGTGTAGTGGAGATATATGATCGATCTTTATGCACCCATCTCTAAAAATTCTGACAACCACTGTGAAAGTAAGGTATATTTTATATGGTTTAATCCTGCGACTCAAAAACAAACCCCCAAAAAAATAAATAAATAAAATTAAATAAAAGAATACAGCAAAACTGAACGACTACGAAGACTTTTTCTTCGACAAAAAACCCCCACCTTATTTAAAAATAATCATGATAACAAACTTCTGTCAATTATTGCTTCTGAATAAGTAAAACATCACATATAAAATGACATTTGTACAACGTGAAACGTTGGTAAGATTATAAAAGGCTTTGATTACCAATGGTAAGAAAAAAGAAAAAAAAAAGAATGCTTGTAAAACGAATTCGAAAGAACATGCAATACACGAAGAACGTGCAATTTTGCCACTTTGCTTAAGAGAAAATGTTCCATGCAACAAAAGCGATCTCCTATACAAGTTGATAGAGGACAAAAGAACGACAACTGACAACATTAACTACTTACAAAGGACTTCAGGTTGAAAAATAAATATATATAGATGATAAACGTTTTCATTCAATGCATCATGACTCTAAATTTAATCAAGGTGACAGTCAAGAATGAAATACATGTATCATGATACTTACACATCTACTTCATACATATTAAATTCATCTCAATTCAACCACTTCATATAAAAATATGTGAAGTAGTTTTAAATAATAAATGATTAAATTATTTAAAGAAAACGTTTTTACTCGTTGAATCGCTTGACGACCAAATTCAGTTAAGCTGAGCCAATAATGACCAAGAAAAAGTGACAGCTACATTTTGTACGAAAAATGATTTTTTTTAAAGCCACCTCTTGAAAAAAATTATTTGGATAAAAGATGTTGACAACTATATATAAATCCCAATTACAGAAATTCGGCCCTGGATACAATTTTATCTTTAGAAAACGATAGATTTTCACACATAAAATAGAAAAATTATGATTTACTAGTAATTCATTGATTGTTTGAATTAAGTCCCTCCGAGAATTTTTCACTCATGTCGTGGATAATTTTATGTTGAAATCTTAAACAAGTTACCTCAATTCTTTGAAACGTTTTTATACATATATATCAATTTACAAATATTGCTTTTTGTTTGTTAAAAACAATAAGATTAGCACAACTTAACTAAATTTTAAAGTTTCAAATAATAGTAAGCTGAATTATCAGAACTGCAATGCTTGATACAATATTTCTAAAGTTACAAATATTGAACATCTTGAATGCTTATCTTAAGAAAGAGATTTTAGTAAATAAAGTACGTCCAAACAAACTTTATCCGAAATACTGATTTCAGTATCAAAGTGCTTGAATTTTTTTAACTTCGCTGCTAAATCTCCACAGTTAAATGTACTCACAATTTTTTGGTTTTGACTTCAGGTGCAGGAGAAACTTGAAATGCTGGCAAATGTAAAACTCCTTCTGCCTTCAGATCCTAAAAAAGACGAGACTTCATTCATTGTGAGCTAAGATGTAGCAAACATTTCTGTTAGATAACAAAGATATGATAACTATTTCATAAAGGATTGAGAGGACTTTGATAAATACACACGTATTATGAAGACGACCATTATAAATTATTAAATATGTAAGGTGAGGGAATCATTGTTAAGACTATCTAAAATGTTGTATAGAAGATCGATAAACCGGTAAATATACTATGACAGTCTGAAATATCTGACGTTTTCTTGGCCTTTTTTACGATTTTGATGTTTATGTGTCAGGAGAACGTCAGAACCGACGCCATTACGAAAATTTGGAACTTCTGTTTGACTTTTGTTACTTGGGAACCGAATGAGTTCACAACTTATCCATAGTACAAAGTCTTAAGTTTATTATTTATCAGCATCGTTTTTATGGTTTGTTCTCAAAATATACAGTCCAGTGAATCATTTTACTAGTATTAGATCGTCTAGTTTTGTTTTCATTTAAAATCTTGCAAAAACATGTTTCGAAATATGAAGTTATATTTTCTTTTCATTGATATTGTTAAGTAATAGAAGCATATTGCTATTAATAAATTAAATTGCATATTAGGCATTCAGTTCGAAAATTTCGAAAATCAGCTCCGATTTAAGACGGTGAAATTTCCAGTTTTCGTAATGGTGCCGGTTCTGACGTTTTCCTATCAAAATCGTCAGAAAAGCCTGGAAAACCTCAGATACATGTATTTCATTGTTAAGAATACCTAGAAAGTTGTACACCAGAGTGCTAAATGTAAGGGAGGTCATTGTTAAGACTGCCTAACTAGTTGTATACTAGTGCTTTATGTATAGGAGGACCTTACCTCCACGTCTCTGTAGAAGTACATGTTGTACTGCTTTATGACACACCAGCGCTTCACCCAGTGTCCCGACATGAAACCCCCTTTGTCTCTTTTCTTGTACAGCCAGCCTTCACAATCCCCTGTACCAAGATCCTTACAACTCACTCGACGATCTTAAAACATAAAAATAACGCATGTGTTACTAGTACCTATCAATGCGAATTCTTAAGATCAGCATTACCATGTCTATTTGTAGGAAGTATCTGTCATCAAAAACCAACTCTGATGTACAGAATTTCTTTAAGAAATAAATTTTTTCTAGATATTTGTGAACTTTGTTTCAACGAAATCGGCCCAAAAAAACCCAGAGATTTCTGAAGGAATTTTTATAGAAGGACAAACAGCTACAGAGTTCTGATCTACAACCTATGGAGCCAAAAGATCCCTATAATTTAGCTGTAGTCAAAGGTAAATAAATCATTATTTACTTATATAATAAACGGAATGATAAATTATAACGGATCTAGTAATATTTGTAACTACCTGGGTCAAGTTGAAACATTCAGAAAGCGGCAAATCCCCCCAAACATGCTATAGATATTTTAGTCGATTGATACACTATCTTGTAGTAAAAACACACCCTAAAAACCAAGAATTTTAACAGAAATACTTGCCGACACGTTTTGGTTTCTTTTTATGTCTCATGACAACGGCAGGCTGAAAAAATGGATACAAAAAAAGTATCAAAATCAAAAAGGTCTAAGAGGAGGTAGGATAATGTATAATGATAATAGACTGTTATCGTAAAACAATGTTGTGGATAGACGAACCTCATTTGTGACGGGGATTTTCTGAACTACTCCGCCCACCACGATTGTCTTGTAACTACTCATTAAGAAAAATATCATTAATAACTTAAAAAGAGTAGTTAAATCATTCATATCAAATTTTACATAAATAAGTTAATGTGAAGATTTGTCGATCTGTCTTACATTTTTTTTAACAATTCTTAAATAAAAATAAAATATGTAAAGCAGCAGTGAATTTAAGATACGGAAACGATTGAAGACACAGAAAACATTTGACACCAACTCTCAAACAATTTGATTTAATACAACTTAACATTCTCTTTTTCTATTTCTAAAATTAACACTCTTAAATTTCAATTTTTGAAAAGGATAAAAATTTAAATCCTTGGTGGAATCAAGTGTATACACGAAATATACACGAAAAACATGTATTTGATGGTTGAAACGATAATCACGAAACAAGTATGGTCAATTATCACCAACTTAAAAAAGAACAATGTATTAAATCTTTTCGTGCATTTTATGATTAACCACTTAAAATTTTATAATATACAATATATACAATGTATCATAAAATATAATGTCCATGTATTTTGTTATCTTATTGTATGTTAACCAAGACCTACATATTAATAGTATTAATTATTATACTTCTATTAAAATGTTTCCTATATAAAGTTCAGACGGTAAAATAACTATCCTTTATACTCCACGCATAGCAAAGCTATACCCCGGGGTATAGTTTTTGCTATCCACCCTCGGAAAATTTTCATGCAATTGTTGCCGCAAATTTTGATTTCCAGCGATAAATCTTTGAACTGATGATGTCATAATGACTTCATCAGGTTTCAGATTATTCTTGCAGAATTATCTTACTCCAAAAAAAATCAAACCTCAGAAATTATATTATACATCAGTATAATAAAACGCTTATCCGCTGGTTGTGAGTGGGATAGCTCTTTTATCAAACCCTTGACAGGAACTATTCCCCTCGGGCAAGCCCTCGGGGAATAGTTCCCTGTCGCGGGGTTGATAAAAGAGCTATCCCACTCACAACCAGTGGATAAGTGTATTTAATATAAATTAAAATGTAACAAATCGCCAAGTTTCGAATCTAATTTTATCCTAGACTTTTGGAATCAGGCATAACAAATCCTAACAAATAGACATAATGAGGAGAGAGTTAAGTGGATACAAATTCTTAAATAAATGAAAAAATAAAAATAAAAAAGGAAGAAAGAAAAATAATGATATTAAAATAAACAAATAAATAATAAAAATAATAAATCTTTTTTTTTGTTCACTTACAGATCCAATGCTCTGCCATCCTTCATTTTATTTTTTAAACAATCAAATTCCCTGATGAGTGAACAAGAATACACGTAAATAAAGCAAGAGGAAACAAATGTATACTTAATAGTATAACAGGAAGGACGATTTCTCAGTCCAAATCAGTTTAAATTGTCGCCTTCTATGATATACACTTGACCTAACCTTTCAGTGCCTTCAAGGGAGAGAGTCTTTAGGTAAACTGTTCATTTTCACCGCTCTATTTTACATTGATAAAATCTCACAGAATACGGAAGCAGACTAAGAGCTTATTCATAAAATAATCTGAAGGGCGCAAAACCATTTATTAGAAAGGCTTATATTACTCCATTGAAATTCTTTAAATATAAATAAAGATTAGAACACATCAACAAAACAGGGAACACATCAGCAGTCTCGTGTAGTGCTTTTTTGCCTAAAGTTTTTTCCATAAATTATTTAGAAACAAACAAATAATGTTATCTAATAAGTGATATACAGTGAAGATGTCTGAAATGATATCAAATTTGTTTCAGATCAACAGAGGGCAATCACAATATTTCTCAATTGTAATTTAATTATCAAAGACGATCAAGAAAAAAAGCACTTTGCGCACGGAGTTCACAACCCCCGCCCTGCGCAACCCTAATGTGAGTATAATGGTCATTTTTTCCAAATAATTATATATCAGATTTTGTGTAGGGGTGTGAAATTCTCAATAAATTTTATTCAGTGGTTGTTCTTCATCGTCGAGAACATTTTCTTTAAATGTTGGATAAGAAAATCAGAAACATGGCTAGAGTAAAATGATGTCAAGGGAGCGTTTTGTTAAGCCTTTTCACGAGTGATTATGATACATGTACTAACTTATACATATCACTGACTTCATAACAATCATGAAATTTACCTGACATTTTCCTCCTGTTTTGTTGACTCAGAAAAAGCGACTTTTTTGTTCCGATTCTACAAATAAAACAAAAAATACAATGTTATCATTTCAGTCAAGTAAATGACAATGAGGAGGTAAGCAAAGATTGTTAGCAATGATTGTTACATAAATTACGTACATTGTCATCAATAACCAAAAAATAAAAATCAGATACAAATACAAAGTTAAAACCAGACTACATGTATAATTTCAATAATTCTTCATTAATGTATAAGTAAATGATGATAAGTAAATGCATTTTTTTTTTTAGAAAATCACAAGAACTGTTGCTATGGATAAATGATCAATGTTTTTTTGTAAAAAATTACAAAATAAAGAAAGCATATACACGTTACACACTTTCTTTATCAGAGGCAACGGATTACGTAAAATATTTCGTGCCCATCATTTGAGCGTAAATCATACAGAGAAAATATTAGGCAAATTACAACAAAAAAATAGTCAAATAATCGAAGAGAATAGTTGAGTATGCTGCTCTTCAGTAGATAAAATGCAAATAGAACACTGAAAAACAGCATAATTCATTAACCCATGCTTACTTTGAAAAAAATAAGGGGAAAACCCGTTCTTGTTTAGTGTTATGTTATGAAATACTGATTATCAAGAAAACAATCTGTAAGTCTAGACATCTCTTGGATACATGTTAAGTATTAATCAACTATCTCTTGGATACACGTTAAATATTAGTCAACTATTTTATCAGATTAATATTTGTTACCCATCACCGTAACATAATGATGTTACATACCCCTCCTTCTATAAAAGAGTCAATTTTTCGAATTTTCATCAGTTGAGGTTCACTCTTTTCTCTAGTAGAGGTAGCAACAGAGGAAAAAGCCATATTTCTAATGGGTTTTCGCATATCAACATAGGAGGCATCCAGATTTTGTGGAGCAGTTTTAGGCATCAGGGATAAAGGCCACAGTTCACTTGTATCCAAATGTGCCTCAACTGTGTGCAGACTTACCCCAGATGAATTCTCAGTGTGGAGATCTGGAATAGCAGTATCAAGAGTGGTATCCTCCTCAATTCTGTCTGTACCATCAATAGACTTTGAGCTAGGAACTTTCTGCTCATTCTCAGCAGGGCTGGTCTCTTTAGCTGGACTTTTTACTTGGTGTCCACTATCCGCCTCTTCCTCTGCGCCATTCTTCTCGGAGTGGTCAGTTAAGGTATCAGTTGATGATGGTGAAGACATACATTCTGGTTTCTCTACTTCCTCTACATTGTCTGCTGTCCGCCTGTTTGGATTTTGAAATCTAGAGGGTACCTCTAATAAGTCTAGAACTTTCTTTTGATCTAACAAATCTTGGAAAGTTTTCTGTTGTTCTTCACTAGCTGATTTTGGTGTTGATATTTCAGACTTGGGTTCTTGGACAATCGGTACCGGTTTCTTGACCGTGAACTCTAGAGACTGCGGGGAGGTCTTGCCTGTCTTGTAGTCCTGTCGCTTCTGCTGAGCGTTCCCTGCCTTTCCACTACCACTTCCTAGTTTGGTTAGATTACTGTCTTCTCCTGTAAAGGGAGTACACAATAGAACGACGACATATAAATGATCATCGAATTTTTTATCCGCTGCTTCATTTGTTTCGTTTTGTACTTGGTTCATAATGCATCTCGCTATTAAATAAGTAAAGTATCTTCAACTGAGTTTCAATCTTAAATGTAAATTTAACCTCGTTTGAAATATGAATAGGAGAAAGAAGCTTGCCCATTATGTCTTTGTATTCAGCTGGCGGTAAGTCGGCCGAGGCCACAGTGAACGATTTCGGTCTGGTGGGCGTGTCTGGGTCTTCTATCCCCAGGAGAGTGCGACTGAGGGTCGGCGATCCGCCGCTGACGGTGGCGCGGCGCTGTTTGGGATCAGTGATCACCGGAAGGGAGAACTGGGGCGACTCGGATCCGCTCCTGAAGACGTCACTGTCTGTATCATTCCCATCATCCTTTTCGTCAGTCACTATCTCCTCCCTGTTATAAAATACAGTGTTTTCAATAACATCCATTTTATTAAATCTGCTGCCAGAAAGCACATTCAGGAAGTCAAAAACAAGGGATTAAATAATGATAACATAAAGTACATGCCAATTTAGTATCAGACGACTTTTTGGGGAGTAGGGGAGAAGACATTTATCGCATGAAACAACACTTCAAGTCATGAAAATATGAGATCAGTTAACATAAAAGCATCGCTGCATAAAAACCGACACAAGTAAGAGTGTAGAATAACATGTCTAACAAAGGAACATTTCTTATGTTAACAAAATATATAAAAGTAGCTACTTCCCGGATCGTCTGTAAGCTGCCGTACATCATATATATATTCTCCGTTTGGTTTGTATTTGAATATTATTTAACAAATGCTTACTTCCCTATAAATTTTATTATATATATCCTTATTAACATTGCATCATTTTACATTTTTTAAAATTCTATTTTTAAAAGTTTCCTTTGAATTGTGATTTGAATGTGTATCGTCGCACAAAATTCATATCGATAAACAAAATTATCCGTCGGAACAGATTTATGGACGTATACGAGATTTTTTCATATCCTTGCATGAAAAAAGAGAGCGTTTGTCTCCGACTTCATTTAGTTTCTACTGTTCTCTGCTTATTGATGTTCAATGTCCTTTAAATATTTGGAGAAAACCAAGGTGAACTGTGATGGAAAATCTGAAAGTTTAACAACCCATCCAGGGATGTTTCTTTATGTATACTCGGTAATAGTACATGTGTAATACTGGACTGCGGAGCAACCTTTCGCGAGTTTTGCCTAACATGCGGAAATACTGCAATACCATGGAACTCAATGTTTGTGTTTAATATTAGAAGGTTCAAAGTGGGCAATCTTGACACAAGGAAGATATAATATCACGATCAACATTCTACTCTTAAAATATAAATTTTATGTCATATTTATCCTCATAGTGATTCTTTTTGTTAAGTTTTGATATTTACAATTAACTCGTGATTTCCCCCGTCCCTTTTGAGCCTTGAGTTTTCTACATTGAATTGTTGTCTAGAAAGATCCGGTTGTCTAGAAGCAGAGGGTCAATTTCAACCAAATCTATCAAAAACGTTCACAACTACGTAGATTTCTACAAGATCAAAGAAATAAGAGTAACCCTTTTCGATGCATTGATAGAGGAAAAACAGTGTAGTGTCATTTAATATCAATCAAAAACCACCAGGGCAGTTTAATTATTCAAGAATCTAAAGTATTGTGCAACGTTAATTTGTTTGAATGAGGGAATTACGATAACAATTAATTGCAGACTAATATGTTCACGTACAGAAATATTCTATTTTCTATTCCTCTTCTTTCCCCCATCTATTTGCCATACTTTACTCGGCACTGCGACACGAGAACTCGAGAATACGGTCTCATCCGAAGGGCCGATCTGCACGCCCCACAGTGGGATTCGAACCCGCGACGTAAGGATCAACTTCTTACTTCCCGACTCTCTAGAAGACGCTCTAACCTAACCACTAGTGGCGAGTTGACTTTGCCCACAATACATCACTGGGGATTTGTTCGGGAATTCTCTAGATTACTGATTTTTTTCCCATGCAAATTGACAATAAAAACCTCCTTGAGAGAACTCGCGAAAAACCTGATGATCTTAAAATAACAACCTCTTTTTCGGTTTTAAGGGTGTATAACTAAGTAACCGCGTCTTCAAATATCATAACGTTTGGGCCCCTTTCTGTCAATAACAAACATTTCCCTTGAAGTTCCTCGGATGTAAGGATCAATATTTGTATACATGTATATCTTTGTTACTGATTTCTACCTGGGACTCAGATGCAGTGAACATGGGAGGATATCACGTTTGGGTAAAAAAAAAAACACAATTTTTTGAAATCAAATGTGCTTCTCACCAATCGTTTATGAAAAAGTTAAGAAAGAAAAAAATAATTTAAATTCAATGGTAACAATTTAATCTTAAAACGATCCAACGAGCAGTAATACCATCGAAATAAAACAAGACAAGTTTAATTGTGGAGATGTACAAATGTAATTTTATTAATTAATTCATTAAACAAATATAACCAATTGATATGTCAGAAACATTGTAAGGATTTCTGCAAATCTATTTTATATATTATATCCTTATAATATAACCATAAAAATATAAATATGCATTTAATTACAGGTACCATTTTTGTTGCTGTTTCTGTTACTCTGTGCTCTAAGAATTCAGGCCAAGGTACAACCTTATCATCTCCCCGACAGTTTGTTTAACTGTTTCCGAACCTTCTCTAATGAGACTTACTTCCAACAACTTCCAGCAGAGAAACTATCAGCGACCTGCTTAATGCGTTATATGTGGTCAGGTGCGTTCTACTCAAGTTTTCAATGACAGGAGTTAGCGAGGTTTTTTATTGCCTTATGGTATGTCACTTGTCAGCATTTTAGAAAAGTTCAGGCAGATTCAATTACTTCAATTTGCATGATTTGTTCAATTATAAATATCATTCAATCTATTTTACGCAAAATAACATTATATTTATCGCCATATTTACATTAGGTAAAATATGATAAAGATTTTAGTGATTAATCAAAGAGCTACAATAATTATTTAAGTGCAAAAAAAAGTCAACTTATTTATATCGTAACTCAGTAACATGCACACTGAACCCCCATTTCTTTGCGATTTTGAGAAATGCTATGTGAGTACTTATCTAAAATAAACTTCTCTCAAAATTCTTGATATAACTAATCTCACGAGTGACATACCTTAATAGGATTTAACCCTTGTTCAAGCGGAGTATCTTTGGCGTGAATTCTTATATGACAAGATTTTGGAGTGCTTCAACATCTTGATACCATAAAACGTGAATACATTTTTCAAACACCTCTTTCCTATTGTAGATGTTGGGATAAATTGTCACAACATGACTCAGCCCGAGTTAGACTACATTGGAGAACTACTAGGGAAGTTTCTCAATCGTCGTAAAAAGCGTCAAACCAACAGACGCAGACGTCGTGAGTACAGGAGTCTATCCCAGGGAGACAGGACCATCTACCATAATGCTGTCAGGTCCCTCAAGTCCAGAAGCCCTGTACGTACTCAATACTCCCTTATTCATTGACACTATTTTCTAATAAGATTTCTTTAATATCATTCAATGTGTGAGAGAACTCCGTAGGATAAGAATTTTTCAGCTAAACACTACACAGTCTTTAATAAGTGCAAAATGTTACAAAACCTTTGAATACATTCTAGAAAAAAGATTGAGTACCTCTTCCTTTTGTAGATGATGTTATGATTATACATTCAATACACGATAGATATAGTAATTAAGAGGTTATATCATTGGTATCCATTTTTCTTTATATTAACTATGTATCTAAGATATTGCTCTGCGTTGTTGATCTTTATTTAAGCTTAGGGTTCTAATAATCAAGCATTTCCGAAAAAGAAATTATAACAGCACTGACATGCAAAAACCTTACTGAATTTTAAAAAGATGCATGCCTTTCTCTATTAAGCCCCGGAACTATGACACGATAGCAAGATACCATCAAGCCAACGTCGGAAGATCGGCTCATGGAGGTCCTAATTTTCCAGGGTGGCACAGAGTGTTTCTTCTTATGTCAGTATCATCAATTATAATTCTATAGATATCTTATGACGTAATTTGCAAATCACTTAATCCTACGAATGCTATAGTTGTCATATTTATAAATTCCCCGTGACCACTACAACTGCCTCATTTCAAAATTTAAACCTCAATGTTTTAATATTTCAAGAACTCACGGGGGAAATTTGCCATTTATAATTCTCTATTACACTAAGAGGTACGTTGCTGAGATCTGTTGTCTTTGTACTTCAGATACGAGGAGGCCCTTATTGAGGCGAGTGGTGGACAGCTGCAGGCCCTCCCATACATAGACTGGCGACTGGACTCCCGACTCAGCGACTCCACACAGTCTGTCCTGTGGACAGCTCAGTTCCTAGGAACTGGAAATGGACTTGTAAATAATGGACCGTTTGCTAACTGGAGAGTGGATGGCTCGTCACTCATCCGTAATGTAGGACTGGGACCTCGTCTTACCTCTGACGCTGACGTCCGACGCCTTTTCAGAATTAATAGTGTCCGTAGATTTGGGACAGATCTAGAGTTTCTCCATAATACCGCCCACGTATATATAGGAGGACTGATGTCAGAGGTAGAGAGAGCCACATTTGATCCAGTGTTCTTTATGCATCATTGCTTCATTGACTATCTATGGTGGCGATACCAGTGTCCTAACAACAGATGTATAAGTGACAGGTTCAGGTATCCAGGTACCAGAAGGGATGGATTACATGCTCCTAACAGATTTATGGATAATTTAACATTCCAAAATCAGCAACTTCGAAACAGGAGAGGTTACGATCGAGATTGGTTAAATTACTTCACGTATGAAAACTCGCCCGCAGAATGTACCAGTGGTTGTTCTTCCTTTTCAAATCCTGGTGCACTTGACTGTACAGTGACCACCTGTAGATCTGCCAGGGCTGGTGGGAGTACAGGAGGAAGTGGGGATGGGGGCGGGGGTGGAGATTATGACGACTATGATTACGGTAGAATTCGAAAGAAACGACAAGCCATTCCACCAACCCCATTCCAACAGACTTTCCCTAGCAATGAATACTTCATAGCTCGACCAGTACAAAATCTCTTTACAATTAATTGTCAAAGTAATTCGAATCAGTGGGGATTCATTCCAGTCAAAGTGGTTAATGTACGGTCCAAAACAGAGGTGTACAACTCGTATCCGGTACGAACAGGCAAAGTTCTGGTCTCTTCATTGAATGATATATACGATCAGTTGCCGGGCATAGAAAAAATAGATAAACTGACAAGGCCAGGTCATCCCAAGAGTTATCAAAACTGTACAACTGACGATTCCGGAGCATTTCGGGTCACGATCAACTCATATGGCTTAAATTACTATGGTTACTATCAAGATTATGCCATCATGGACAACAGAGCACCTTTGTATTCGGCGATGACGTACATTGCCGTCAGACGTCCGACTAAGTATAAGCCAAGCTTTGTTTACCTAACATCTTTTGACAACTGTGGAAGATTTTGTACCCCCAAATGCCTTGAGCCTGGGTCGAAGCCACCAAGGTATAGAAGCTGTACAGGTGCCATAAAAGTTGACGACAGCTTACCACGGGGGTATGGCACCTCGTATGATGATGCAGTTCTCCTGTATTATAGTTTCCAGGGTGCTGGAAGTTGTCCTCGTACTACTGAGCAGAATGTTCCTATCATATTTTACTGCAATAAGGCAGATAACTGGCTACCAAGGGCAACAAATTCTAATTATTTTGGTTAAGTTTCCAAATAAATTATCAATACCAAGTGTTGAATATCATTTACCATCTTCACCATCAAAGGGGCATAGACACATCATTGAAGTTTTTATCTACCAGAATTTTCGGTAGAATTCCATGACATTCATGTACCACATATTTCTGGATTTCTTTAGTTTCGATAGTTGAACACGGAAAAGTCCGATGGTGCAAATAATTAGACGTGTTCATAGTATTACTGTGCCAATTTGAAATGCCATACAATGCCAAGGTCCGATTGTTTTCAATAAATACCTGATAGCAAGCGTCTAAAATTGTTGTTAAAATTGAGACAAATAATCCAAACATGCATTCATGACGTTTAGAATTCCGTCCAATGTTAACGTTTGCTATAGACCTTATTAAATCTCAGTCTCGAGCTAAAATGCGTTATGAAAACATGAAAGTGATCAAAAACAAGAGGCCCACGGGCCTTCTAGGTCACCTGAGTATCATATCACAACTTTCCAACAATTGAATTTGATTCTTGTTTTAAACCAGAGGCCATGAAATTCACAATTTTGAAAGAGGCACCATTGCTTATCATAATTACATATATGTATAAACTTCGCATACTTACGCTATTTATTTATGAGTAACAAAGAGAAAATGCACTTCGAACCACTTTATCACCAGTTGTGCACCCCACCCCAAAGGAACCAATGACCCTGGAGCCACATATTTCAAAGTTTTGGAAATTTTATCATAAATTTTATTTCATCATATATGGTTGATTAATACCAAAGAGCAGATTTCAAAGCATTAATTTATTTTCAGACTATGTAACCCCCCCCCCCATCCAATGCCTCTGACCTAGGGGGCATGAAATTAACCATTTTGCTAGATGCACCTTTCTCCATCATAAATATATATACTTGGATCATTAGCATAATACCCAGGAGCAAAGGAAAAGATTTTCAAAGAATTAATGTATTTTTACTATATAATCAAAAGACCCCCCCTCCTCTTTACACCAAATGGCAAAACCTCTGACACTGGGGCCATGAAATTCACAATTTTGGTCGAGGCAATCTTGCTCATCATAACTATGTACTTAGTTAGTTTATCTAATACTGGGAGAAGATTTTTGAATAATTAATGCATTTTCACTATATAATCAATAGAGCCCTGCCCTAACACCAGAACCCCTGACCCTGGGGCCATAAAATTCACAATTTTGGAAGAGGCACTCTTGCTTATCATAACTATGTACTTAGTAAGTTTATTTCATACCCAAGAGAATAGGAGAAGATTTTCAAAGAATTAATGCATTTCACTATATAACCAATAGAGCCCCGCCATAACATCAGAACCCCTGACCCTGGGGCCATAAAATTCACAATTTTGGAAGAGGCACTCTTACTAAGCATAACTATGTACTTAGTAAGTTTATTTAATACCCAGGGGCAGAGGAGAAGATTTTCAAAGAATTAATATATTTTCACTATATAATCAATAGAGCCCCGCCCTAACACCAGAATCCCTGACCCTAGGGCCATAAAATTCACAATTTTGAAAGAGGCACTCTTGCCCACCATAACTATGTACTTAGTTAGTTTATTTAATACCCAGAAGCAGAGAAGAGGATTTTCAAATAATTAATGCATTTTCACTATATAATCAATAGAGCCCCACCCTAACACCAGAACCCCTGACCCTTGGGCCATAAAATTCACAATTTTGGAAGAGGCACTCTTGCTTATCATAACTATATACTTAGTTAGTTTATTTAATACCCAGGAGCAGAGAAGAAGATTTTCAAAGAAATAGTGCATTTTCACTATATAATCTATATAACCCCACCCTAGCACTAGAACCCCTGACCCTAGGTCCATAAAATTCACATTTTGAAAGAGGCACTCTTGCTCATCATGACTATGTACTTAGTTAGTTTATTTAATACCCAGGAGCAGAGAAGAAGGATTTCAAAGAAATAGTGCATTTTCACTATATAATCTATATAGCCCCGTCCTAGCACTAGAACCCCTGACCCTGGGGCCATGAACTTCACAATTTTGGTAGAGGACTTAATAGACATTACATTCATGCTAACAGTTTGCCGGCTTGATGTCCAGGAGTAAAGAAGAAGATTTTTAAAGATTTCATTAATTTTAGTGGTTTTCATTTGGCCCAACCCATCAGGCCCCAGGGGGGCAGGGACCATTAAAATCACAATTTGTTCCCCTTCACCCATAGATGCTCTATATAAAATTTGGTTGAAATTGGTTCGGAGATTTCAGAGAAGCTGAAAATGTTCAAATGTTAACACACGATGGACAACGACGGACGAAAACGGATAGCAATAGGTCACCTGAGTAACTCAGGTGACCGAAAAAAGGTGTTAAAGCTGTAAACTTCAGCTTTAAAAGTATGTTTTGAAATTTTTTTATAGGGAAATTATCAAAACTGCTTCAGGTTTAATTTTAAACACATTTGATTGTCATTGGGATTTCATAGCATTGGAGTATTTGACTGTCACTTGGTTAAGGACAATTTCTACGAAGGTTTTTTTTCAACAATCATGAAAATGATAATCAAGTTTAGCAGCATGATGTTTTTCATTTAGCAGAAAACATCCTGGTACATTGATATTTCTTCCTGTAATTACATAATGAGCTTATACTAGTTACTGAAAATACAGATACAAGTACCCGGCATTTGTTGTTAAGCTCTCAAATTTATACACTACATTTCTGTGAAATTGTTTAACATCAAATTCACATAAAAGGAATAAGAACAAAATTGACATTGCATTGATTTAAGTAATAAAATGAAGTATACAAGTAAATCCCTGCACTTATGATAACATTTACAATTTCACATACATGTACAATTACTTATTTTACAAATTTTAAATACATTTCTATATGTACATTTGGGTTTTTTACATCATGTGTCTAACTAGATTGGATGTTGACTATGTACTGCATTTTTAAAACAAGAGGCCCATGGGCCTTATAGGTCACCTGAGCATCATGCAACAACTTTTCAAATGATTGAATTTGGTTCATGTTTTAAGCTAGATGCTATGGCATTCACAATTTTGAAAGAGGCACCATTGCTAATCACCATACACTTAACAATTGTTTAGTTTGTCTACTTAATACCCATAAGCAGAGTAGGGGAACAAAAAATGCATTTCAGCTAATCAGTAATATTCAGCAATAATCAGAAGTGCCGCCACCACACATGAACCCCTGACCCTAAGTCTACACATTGCACAATTTTTGAAAAGGCACACTTGCTTATCAAAAATGTTTAATTAATAATTATTAAATACCAAAGAGCAGATTTCAAAAAATTCATTTTCAGTATATAAGTAAAGCCCCCCCCCCTTTGGAATCTCTGACCCAGGGGCCTTGAAATTCACAATTCTGGAAGAAGAGCCCTTGCACACCATAACTATATAGGTAGCTCATCTGCTTATTACTCAGGAGTAGAGAAAAAGAATTTTCATAGATGTAATGTATTCTCACTATATGATCAATAGAGCCCCGCCCCAAGACCAGAACCCCTGACCCTGGGGCCATAAAATTCACAATTTTGGTAGAGGCACTCTTGTTTATCATAACTTTTTACTTAATTAGTTTATTATTCTTAGGAACAGAGAAGATGATTTTCAAAGAAATAATGCATTTTCACTATATAATCAATAGAGCCCCACCTTAACACCAGAACCCCTGACCCTAGGGCCATAAAATTCAAAATTTTGGTAGAGGCACTCTTGCTCACCATAACTATGTACTTAATTAGTTTATATATTACTTAAGAACAGTGAAGAAGATTTTCAAAGAAATAATGCATTTTCACTATTATAATCAAAGAGCCCCGCCCTAACACCATAACACCTGACCCTGGGGCCATAAAATTCATAATTTTGGTAGAGGCACTGTTGCTCATCACAACTATTTACTTAGTTTGTTTATTTAATAAACAGAAGCTGAGCAGAAGATTTTCAAAGAATTAATGCATTTTCATTATATAATCAAAAGAGCCCCGCCCTAACACCAGAACCCCTGACCCTGGGGCCATAAAATTCACAATTTTGGTAGAGGCACTCTTGCTCATCATAACTATGTACTTAGTTAGTTTATTTTATACCTAGGAGCAGAGAAGAAGATTTTCAAAGAAATAATGCATTTTTACTACAGTGTATATAATCAATATAGCCCCGCCCTAGCACTAGAACCCCTGACCCTGGGGCCATGAATTTCACAATTTTGGTAGAGGACTCAATGCTGATTACAATCATACCAACAGTTTGACTGCTTATGTCCAGGAGTAAAGAAGAAGATTTTTAAAGATTACACTAATTTTAGTGGTTTTGGCACCACCCCCCCCCAGGCCCCAGTGGGGCAGGGACCAGGAAATTCAAAATTTTTGTTCCCCTTCACCCATAGATGCTATATGCCAAAATTAGTTGAAATTGGTTCAGTGGTTTCAGAGAAGAAGCTGAAAATGTTTAATTGTTAACGCACAACGCACGACGACAGACGAAAACAGATAGCAATAAGTCACCTGAGTTTACTCAGGTGACCTAAAAATGAATTATAACTTTTATATTTTTTACAGGAAATCTTTCTAGAACTTTAATTACCTAATGATTCAAAATAATCCAGATATCAGGATATTAAGGCTTGTACAACCTTAATTTTGGCCTACATGAGCACTGTCTGCATATTTATTAAACCATTCTTAGCCATGCTCTCTACAGAGGATACAAGTAACTAAAATGACCTAAGTATGGACATTCTTTTGAGATATTGAAATTTTGGATCTATCTTGTTTATCATTACTAAACAAATCTGATTTTGATTGGGAAGCTTTAATATATAAGGAAGTTGAGCTATATCTTGCCCTTTTGACAAAGATTCTTCATGAGAAAAATCAACTAGTTTTTACACTGTATATAAAACAATTAACACTCTATTACATCCCTTTGAAACCACAAGGTTTGAAATATATGAAAAAAGCACTGTTACAGTAAAATTAAACTTAAAACTGCAGGTAACCCACTGTTTTCCTGAGAACATGAACAAAACTTTAGCCTTCTCTACATAATGAAGCATTAAAAAGGCTTTGCTCTGCGTAATTTTGCCAGAAAATCAGTAAAAAAGGACTTTCCATTTTACGATTTTCTCATACTGTACAATGCATTTTTTAAAGTTTTTATTATTATTAGAATAATCATTATTGAACATACTTAGTTGTATGAGGATCATCCATTGGTGTTGAGCTAACATTTTGTTTTGTTTACAAATATACATGTACATACCTTGTTGTATAAAGATCGTCTGTTGGTACAGAACTGGACAATTCCTGGAGGGAGGGTCTGGGCTGTTTATTATGCTCCCCCTCTCTAGATCTCCTCTTCTTGGAGGGTAAGGTGTTGACTTGAGGGGGGTGAAGGTTGGTGTTTTGGTGACGTCTGTTTGGAAGCTGACCATACGGACTAATGTGATGAGGACGTTTTTTCAAAAGAAGATGCACTTCCTTTGGTCTTTCCTTCAGTATATCAACCAATCTCTGAAGCTGCCAACCAACCTAGACAATAACAAGACACACATGGGTCTCAGCCATTGACTGAATCATCTATGCTCTTGCAGCTGAACTTCAGGAAAGAGATATATTTTTCTCTCTAAATTCTACTAAAAATCATGAACCTTATCACTGTATTTTATGGATTCTGATGTTATACCACTCTGTTTTACTGATTCTGATGTATTACCACTGTATTTTACTGATTCTGATGTATTACCACTGTATTTTACTGATTCTGATGTATTATCACTGTATTTTACGGATTCTGCTGTTATACCACTCTGTTTTACTGATTTTAATGTTATACCACTGTATTTTACTGATTTTGATGTATTATCACTGTATTTTATGGATTCTGATGTATTACAACAGTGACTGTATTTTACGGATTCTGATGTTATAAAACTGTATTTTATGGATTCTGATGTACAAATGTATTACCACAGTAAATGTATTTTACAGATTCTGATGTTATACCACTGTATTTTACGGATGGATTCTGATGCATTATCACTGTATTTTACGGATTCTGACGTTATACAACTGTATTTTACCGATTCTAATGTATTACCACTGTATTTTACTGATTCTGATGTATTATCACTGTATTTTACTAATTCTGATGTATTACCACTGTATTTTACGGATTCTGATGTATTATCACAGTGACTGTATTTTACGGATTCTGATGTTATACCACCGTATTTTACGGATTCTGATGTACAAATGTATTACCACAGTGACTGTATTTTACGGATTCTGCTATACCACTGTATTTTATGGATGGATTCTGATGCATTATCACTGTATTTTACGGATTCTGAAGTTACACCATTGTAGTTTACTGATTCTGATGTATTACCACTGTATTTAATGATTGTGATGTATTTAGTGTATTTTACCAATTCCTATGTACGACCATTGTGTTTAACTGATTCTGATGTAATACCATCTTGACTGTACTTTACTGATGTATTACCATTGTGTTTAACTAATTCTGCTGTGCTACCACTGTGATTGTATTTTACTGATTCTGATGTATTACCACTGTATTTTACTGATGTATTACCACTTTATTTTACTGATACATTACCACTGTATTTTATTGATGTATTACCGCTGTATTTTACTGATGTATCACCACTGTATTTTACTGATTCTGATGTGCTACCATTGTGACTGTGCTTTATTGATTCTGATGTATTCCCACTGTATTTTACTGATTCTGATGTATTACCAATGTATTTTACCGATTCTAATGTATTACCATTGTAGTTTACTGATTCTGATGTATCACCACTGTATTTTACTGATTCTGATGTGCTACCATTGTGACTGTGCTTTATTGATTCTGATGTATTACCACTGTATTTACTGATGTATTACCACTGTATTTACTGATTAAGGCGTATATTACCACTGTATTTATTGATACATTACCACTGTTTTCTGGTCCACCTGCACCACCTCATCACCTTTCTCTATCTTCCCACACAGACCAGCTGGTGACTGACAAATACAATACGACAGTAAGGTATATTGAAATTATTATCTCTGACTCTATTTATTGTAATAGATGAAATGTTATTTTATCTAATATTTTATATTTTATAAGTTTCCTTTAAATATTCTTCATAATACATTATTTTGCAGATGTTTTCTTTGTTAATGCTTACATTATGTAATTAATTGTAATAAATAAGAGATCTCTAATACAGTATATGAAAAGTGCAGTTTGTTTGGACCTCTGCAATCATAAAGACTACATGTATATGATTTCCTTTTAATTTGAAAGTGATACATCAACAATATTAAATTAATCAATAACAATTTCTTAAAAGCATTCTTCTCTATTTTCTATCTGACACAACAAAACGTTCCTCTTACCCTATCCTTGACTTCCCCAATCACGTGCACACCATAGTATGCTGAATGTATTCTCATACCCTAGACAAAAGTCAATCAAATTATATAACTTATAAATCATATAGATCACTTAATTTTCACGACACCTTATTTTCGTGAGATAGTCATTTACTCTTGATTAGTGAGACAAAATTTTCACGAATTGTGGTCATTGCTCTATATACACTTATGGAATACTTTTATACGCGAGAATTAAATTTCGCGTGCACACTGTCTCGCATAATTATGCAAAAATAAGGTTCTCGCGAATAAAAAGTGATTTACAGTAACTCAGAAACGACTTGTTACCAGTTCCTCTCCTGGTTTTTTGCGGATGGTGGCTTGTTCCAGTAGAGCGGGCTGTATCACCAGGGTCTCTGTATTGTTGACTACCAGGCCATCACAGTAGTCAGCCAGCATGTGACACTGACAATAGACAGAATAACACTCACAAAATCTATGTATTATTATAAAATAATACAACTCCAAAAAAAATGATAATAATCTACATCAACTTGGCCCTTTTATTTATCTTCAGATTTTCTTTACTTTTATAAGAATTCTTTATTCATAACAGTTTTTTTTAAAATCAGAAATGAAATGCTTACTGTAATTTAACACTAAATTAGTTTATCTTGAATATATACATTTGTCTATAGTACTGAAGAAATATCATCATGTTGAAGAAGTGTTTGCAATAAAGGAAGTCTTGTGGAAAATGAAATACCAGTATATGTAGATAAAGAACTGTATTCAAGCTCAAAAGTCTATTGAATGATACAAATAGGATCAGAGCAAACATGGACTTCCAAAACATCAGAGGTGGGATCAGGTGCCATGTAATATTCATTCCAAGGCCTCATTTTAAAATACTACATGTGTACTTTAAAATGTGGGCTTCATATTTTTAGTGTCTTTGGTGCAGACAATAATGCCCTAATTCATGAATACCGCTAAGAAATCATTTACACATACAATACACTGAATGGACATGTGAAGCGCTAATTTATAATTGTGCCAACAACTCCATATCAAGTGCTTGCACTAAATTTTGAATACGCCAAATTATGTATATGCACAGAACATTGTTAGCTAAAGAGTATAATGAATGAATTACCCTTATAACCAAGAAAAATCAGCCATCCTTGGCACTTTCTTGTAAGCATGTTTAACTTTAGTTACTTACAGCTGTGGATATCTTTTCCTCTGGGTTGGGGTCGGATACATCTTTCTGACAGGCTGATATTAGATCTATCCCAAGCTTCACCAAAGTATTGCGAAGTAACACCATATCATAGATTTTCTCAAATGGTGCTCTATAAAACAATAATATATCAATTTGATTAAGAAATGGCCCTTTAAACACATTCAGCTTGTCAGGGGTATAAGTATACCAACAATGAACTTAAACCCAACTATGTTCTTGTATGTCCCTCATTAGCTTATGAAAAAAAGTTTGGTCAGAACTTCATACATCAAAATTATAAAAATATTTGAAGCAGACATTGCAATTATAAAAATACCTCATTTAAAAATTCATAAAAAAAGTTAATAAGAAGTTAAATTTATAAAGGACTATTTCTTGTGGTGGAATATAATTTAGAAAAATCCTAAAATCTAAACTTTTTTATTTATTCTGATGGCCCTCATTTTTTATACTTGTAGAAGTATTTTTCAGTGTAGGTTTCAAGGTAATATTTTTAAAACAAATTTCGTACTTGATTTGAACTAACATGTACCTTGCTAAAAATTGTAGATATATTAAAGGTACTTGGACACAGATTTGAAGTTCATATTTTCTCTATAATATTTCAACTTATATATTTTAATAGCATTTCACACAAAAATTAATTAAAAATCTTATTTCATTTAAAAGTTATTAAAACTTCAAATTTTTTGGCAGGTTTGATTGACACATCCTTTCACTTTCACAAATTTTAACTCTATTTTTAATCCTTAGGAAAAGTGACAATCTTGCTGACTGTGTGTATTAATGAGAAATATTAAAACTTTAATCCAGAAAATTCAGAGTAGACATGTTCGAAAGCAAAACAACCACACAATATATGTCAGTCCGTGCAGTTGTGGTGAGCAGACTTTGACGATTGAACGCACCCGGTGAATCGTAAACATCAACAATAACAGAGCTCGTGCCCTGTTTACAAAAACTGTGTACATAACACGAGTGTGATCGATCTGCTAAACTCTGTATACAACATTTAGCTCGGAATGACGATACTTGTGAAGGAGTTTTGCTTTCTAACATTTCTACTCTGAATAAAATTATTTTTCTGGATTAAAGTTTTAATATTTCTCATTAATACACAGCAAGATTGCCACTTTTCCTAAGATTAAGAATAAAGTTATAATTTGTGAAAGTGCAAGGATGTGTCAATCAAACCCGCCAAAAAATTTGAAGTTTTTATAACTTTTAAATGAAATAAGATTTTTAATTAATTTTTGTGTGAAATATGCTATTGAAATATATAATTCATGATATTATACAGAAAATATTAACTTCAAAACTGTGTCCAAGTACCTTTAAGCAAATCAAGATAAAATCAGCATTTTTAAATTTGAAATCTGCATATATTTTTGCATATTTTAGTCATATCTCAAAACTGGTCCAGCCATTGAATGACACACTTTAGTGTGATAATTAGGTCAGCTACAGATGACAAGGTGTCTACTGACATGTGATGTAGTCAATACTCACCTGTCTAGCCATTGAATGACACACTTTAGTGTGATAATTAAGTCAGCTACAGATGACAAGGTGTCTACAGACATGTGATGTGGTCAATACTCACCTGTCTAGCCATTGAATGACACACTTTAGTGTGATAATTAGGTCGGCTACAGATGACAAGATGTCTACAGGCATGTGATGTGGTCAATACTCACCTGTCTAGCCATTGAATGACACACTTTAGTGTGATAATTTGGTCAGCTACAGATGACAAGATGTCTACAGGCATGTGATGTGGTCAATACTCACCTATCTAGCCATTGAATGACACACTTTAGTGTGATAATTAGGTCGGCTACAGATGACAGGATGTCTACAGACATGTGATATGGTCAATACTCACCTGTCTAACCACTGAATGACACACTTTAGTGTTATAATTAAGTCAGCTACAGATGACAGGGTGTCTACAGACATGTGATGTGGCTTTGTGTGGGAGTTGTTGGCCATGTTAGGGTCGTTCTCCAGGTTACGTGGCTGGACTTCATTAAACAGACTTCTAGCCTTACAACCCAGCTGTAGAGCCAGGGACTGAAGGTTCTCAGTCTCATAGTCATAACGCTGAAACAAGACAAATATAGCTTACAAACTGTATTTAGTATATATGATATACCCAAGATACTTAAGTTAAAAGTTGTTACTGTATGGTCCCATATTAAAAATACAGCAACTCAAAAATATCATTCCTTTTCTTGGATTGAGTTTTCAATTTTTATTTACAATGAACATGAAATTGAAAGTTCTTATTGTCATGCAGTGGTCTCCAAATCTCAAACATTAAACCTGAGATAGTGTCTATGTAAAAAGCAATTTGTATACATTGATACATCGTAGTTTTGACATATATGAAAATTTAAACTACATGTATTTAAGTAAATTTGAGATAGAATATGTCTTCATACCAGAGACCTCAGAAGGTCTACAGCTTCTAAGATCAACTCCTGGTGCCCCAGTTTGTGGACTCCTATCTTTTCCAAATCATAATGCGTCAACAGCAACAACTTTTTCCCATTAATGTCTTTGTCCTTGAAGTGTGCCACGTACTGCTGTATAACATCATCTAGACCTGTAGGAAAATAAGACAATTATTACAAACACAGTTTTTATTTCTACTTTTCTGGAAAACTTGCAATATTGTTCGCTAAAACGTAAATATAGAATTATGGATCATTGTGTAATCTAATTTTGTAATAAAGTTTTATTGAAATGGCATGGTCCACTTAAGTCAAAGCGAGGGGTCAAGATCATTATGGATATTTATCCCCAGCTTGGTTTCTTAAAAAGGTACCAATTTAAATCACAAAAAGTATTTTATGGATCTAGAGTGTTTCACAATGTTAAAAATAAAAATATCTCTATACACACCAGGTGTACATTTTTGTTTGGTGAATAGGTGTGTATAAATTTTCAGTCAAGTTCATGTGTAACAAAAATCATGTCTAGAAACAGAGAAATATGCTGACTCAATAATACCCCTCCTAAACTTCTTGTATGAGGAGCACAAGGACAGATTGACAACTCATACTAGACAAACGATAGACACTTTACCATCATACCAAGCTATATCCTTATCCTTTACCATAAAAGCCTATATCAGGTCAACTTATTAAGAATGGGAAAAGAAATCACCATGAATACTGAATACAATGTTGTAGGCCCAAGAAATTATGTTCTTATTCGTTTCCACTCAAACGAACATAAATTAATTATAAAATAAATATCAACATGTATATAGGTAGGTACAGAAGCGCTCTTGTAAGTGCAGTTTAATATTATATACAAAATATACATTTCCAACTTTCCCTCATGACAACTCATCCAATCTACAAAACAAAAGCATATAATTAATAAAAACAAACATGATACTTGTGAGGGTGGGTGGGTAGGTGGGGAAACGTCTGACTGCACTGAGAAAGAGCCTTCAAATGGCATTTAACTTTTACATACGCTAAAGCATGCTTGCTTTAACAGAATACCTGTAGAACAGGTATTCTATGAATACTTTAACCAATCAGACCGACACTCTTCCTATACACCAGATAAACATGTGTTCGATTGATACACATGTTGTGATAACTTCAATAAATACATTACTTGAAAACTGAGAATGCAGGAAGTTTACAATTATAATATATTCACTATCTACTGGGGTGAAAAATGATTCAGAATAAATTTAAGTAATTATAATGCAGTGTAAATACCTTATCTACAGTTATTTAGTACATGTATGATGTACAGTGTAAATTTTTTTTAAAAATGCGAATGAAATGTAACATTGGTTGTTTGTTTGTTTTTTTTTTTACATTATTTTAATTTGGAAAGTTATGCAGAAATGTGACCAATGGAAAATATATCTTATATGTCCATAGGACATGAATGCTCCACCAAGGCTTATGCAGTGTCTGAAATTTAAAGGAACATAGGATATTAATTGAGAAAATGTGAGGTTAGAATGTCATGTAGGAAAAGGTTAAAAAATTATGAAACATGTAAATAGCCCTCACCAGATGAAGTTTGATGAAAATATATTGTCAATGAATATTTTCTTAGAATCTGAGTGAGTTTAAACTCCTCAAATAGTAAAGTCAAAAGTTGATCTATGGGAAGATGGCCCTGGACCCGTATATTATGAAAGAGAGTAGGAGACTCACCACTTCTGCAATGAAAATGTACTGTACATAATTACTGTGTACATATAAGTCATGTATATTTAAGTTTATAGAAAATGTATATCAAATGATCATGTGCTTTAATTATACACAGTATATCCACTACCCATTTCATCAGGTAATGTATTTATTACAGTAGGTCAAATGCTGACTCACTTTTTTCACACTGATTGTTTGGCTATTATTTACACATTGAGTTGTCCAAAGATTTTTTTCCATTATTTCCTGATTATGACAAGGAGCACAACACGGGTGTGATTTGTTGGTAGGGGATGCTCACTCTTCCATGGCTCCTGATCCCACCTCTGATATTTTATAGGTCAGTGTTTACTCCGCTCCGCCACATTCCTCCTGTAGTGGACAGTATATAGGGATTTTACACTGCCTCGCTAGTGAGCTAGCTTTTCTAGTGATGCGGCAGAGTTTCCCTCTATTTCAGGCAAGTTAAGCAATGGCAAGCCTGTTTAACCCTTGGATGGGTGACCACTTCATGGTACAAAATTGGTGGCAGCGCAGTGACTCTGGTATCTGCTGTCCTGCATGCTTCAGGAAGTCTCAGAGCTAGGACTTACCCATACCACCTGTGCATTAGTGTCCATTTACAGACATTGTGTATGTGGACAGCAGGGATTGCCGCAACTGAAGAGGTTCCGACCTGCTTCAGGAAGCTTTGAGGCTAGGACTTTGTGTCCATGTACGGACTTCATGTACGGGAATGGCATTGGTTGCCGTAACTGAAGAGGCCCAGACACTCAGAGAGAACTCATGCCAAGCTTCGGGTCAAAGCTTCGCTGAGCGGGGGGAAGTGTAGCGGACATTATATAGGAAACTTATACTGCCTCGCTAGTGAGCAAGCTTTTCTAGTGATGCGGTAGAGTTTCCATCTATTTCAGGCAAGTTAAGCAAAGGAGAGCCTGTTTAACCCTTGGATGGGTGACGCTTCACGTTACACTCCCTCCTTAAAGGTTTTTGGCCCCAAAGACCCCAACCAAGCCTCATCCCTGGCATGCCTCTCACCTGTCAGTTCCAGGGCATGGCATGGCACCAAATGTAACGGGAGAGGAGAAAATGCAGCAGACCACACCAAGATTCCAACCCGGACCCCCTGAATCTCTGGTCAGGTGCTCTACCAACTGAGCTATCTCGCCACCGGCGATCAAACCCGGCTGACCGCCCCAGTTTTATGGCCTTTTGAGCTCAAATACCATTTGTTATTATATACCTTCACAACTTTCATGTAATACCTAATCCACAGGTGTTCAAATACAGAAAAATTATGACAATTTAGGCTTTTCTCTTAGTGCAGGTGTTTCCCCACCCCCTTGCTCCTAACATCTCTCCTTTCTGAAGAAAGCTCTTGTAACATGTTTTGTGGGTTCGACCATGGATGAGGTATAGATAAAGAATTTTCCTTTACGTTACTTGACGTATTTAGCTGATTGGATTAAATATAAGAACAAACACGATCAATAATAATCAACAGAACAATGATTTAAACTTATCGTCTATATAATTATAATTTTCCTTAATTTGTCATCTCCAAGCCCTTCGTCTGACACTTCTGTTTGAGCACTAAAGCTCCCAGACCCTGTAGTTTTAACCACCGGGTTTCCAACACCCGTTTATAATATTTATTTACTACTTTGTTAACCCGTAAGGATCTATGTTTCTCAAATGGTCCTTCTGCAGTACTTTGAGACACCGCAAATGAGAAAAACACAAATACCTTACCAATGAGACGTCCTCTTCTCTTGACGGCTTCTCTACAACTGAACACCGGGACTTGAATGAGCCCGCTTATATACTTTTCCAAGATCTGCTGAGTCAGATCTTGATCTTCTGAATGTTTGAAACATTGACTGGACATAAGAGATAACTTTTGATTGCTAAGACTAATTTAAACCCTGATTTTATAATTATTAACTTGATCAAAGGAATTTCACTACAATTACCCATGCCTCCGAAACATATGCGTCCCGCATATAGATAAATAAGATTCCTGATCATAAACTTTTTTTTCTTTATTTTATCTTTTTTTATAAGTCACCGATCACTAATCATAAAAGAATTCCTCTTTTTCGACGATCTCCTCTACCTTCTTGTCATCCTTGACGGAGCTAGATGTTATCTTGTGAAACTTCCTTTTCTTCACAAGGTTTCGTGACTTTTCTGCAAAGTCAGTTTGTGTGCTTTTGGAGAGATATGACCTAAACCTGAATCGGTCCAATGACATATCCTTCTCCGGCATGTGGTCACTTGTCTTTCTTTTTGGAGCGAATACAGGTAATGGGGCTGTGGCTTTCCTCACTGTTCTACCTTCCTCCAAAACACTGCTATTGTTTTCTTCCCCACTTTTCTTGTTTGTCTGGTCAACCTGTGACACAGGATTCTGTCCACTTTCTCTTGATGAGATTTCCTGCCCCTTTTCTTCCTCTTCACCACTGTCGCTACTACTATCGTCAGAGCTATCATTAGAGATCTCCCCGATCAAATTACCAGGATCTTGATCTAGCCACTCTTTGTCTGCTTCGCTTTCCATCTCCGACGGGACTTCATATTCATTATGAAACTTTCTCTCATGACGCTGTAGGTAAGAGCTCTTCTTAAAGAGTTTGCCACAGGTCTTACATGGGAACCTTCCTCCATTGCCTGGTACAATTATTTTTCCTATTGTTACCACTTCTGTTTTTGATGCCAATGCCATTGTTCCTGAGGCCTCTATCCTAAAGCATCCAATTTTTCCTTCAAACTCTAATGAGTGGAGCTCGTTCCCTAGTTTAAGACTTTTATTGCATATATCTATAACACCTCCATTTGCTTTCAAGCAATCTAAGCCTAAAACAGCATCAATAGTCATGTCTGCAACTATTACTGTTTGAAATATTATTTTCTTGCTGAATTGAAGCCTCACAACTGTTTTTCCATATACATTAAGAGGAGTGCCTGAAGCTGATAAAATTTTCTGGCTCGTCTCATTGAGTTCCACGTCATGCTTCAAGCAGATTGCATCGAACACCTTACGTGAAATAAGTGTAACTGTGGCACCAGTGTCAACTAATATCATGGCAGACACATCATTGATGGTTCCATGAATGTACATGCCTGGTTCATTGGACTTTTTGTGGATTCCAATGGAACCCTCAAGTTTCTCTTCTGACTTTCCTTTATTATGGGTAGCCATTTTAAATTGTCCAGACTTCTCTTTACCGGTCTCTGTATTTTTGAAAGACTTTCTTTTGCCATAGGAGTCAAATGGACTTGGCTGAGCATAAGTCTCACTCTTATTTGGACTTTTGGATCTACAATCCTTCTTGAAGTGTCCACGCTTACCGCACTTGAAACACTTTTTGGAAGTACCTGCTGTCTGCTTCTTCTTGTCAAACCTCCGAGATGTATTATAAGTAGTTTGGTAAGTACGAGACTTCTGTTGCTCAGTTTTCATCTTATTCACTTCGGTCTGTAGGCTCAGCAACATCTCCTTGATAGACTTTACAGAGTCCTCTAGACTACCACTGTTAGTCTCATGACGAGTATTATCGCCTCCTGCTTCTCAAACAAATCCACTGTCTTCATTTCTTCTGCGTTCTGCCCCGACAAATGCATTGAGCTCAACAGCGTGTCGAATGGCATCATTCAGATTCTGGGGTCGTGACTGTTTAATTCTCAAACGCATGTCAAAACTAACAAGCGCATCGATAAAATGTTTCACACACATCTCCTGGAGCTGTTGGATATGCTAGGCGTGTAAGCCGTCTAATGTCTTGGCCTAGCTGCGGTATTGTTTCTGACGCTTTTTGTCGTCTCTCCCTAAGTTGCGCCCTATACAGTTCCGTCTGGTTGGCTGGGGAAAAACGTTCTTCCAGGGACTTGGACAACTCTTTAAAATCCATTTGCAGATATTCTGGTAGGTTTCCAAGCACACCTTGGGCTAGATCTCTTAAGGACACGGCCAGATACATCCCTTTCTCTTCTTCAGACCAGTGGTTCAAGCAAGCACATGCATTGAAATGCGACTTATAGTCCAACCACGACGTCGTTCCATCATAAGTTGCAGGTTTCAGCTTACTGGATTTTTCATCTTTTCCCAAGCGGTCCCGAACACCATGTGCTTCAAATCTATTGTCTCTAAACCTGCGTGCTGTAACATTGCTTGGAATATTTCTAGGTGTTTCAAAATATAGCGCATGGTCTGAAGCTGGTCTACGTGTTCTGTCACTGATGTAGTCAAAGTCAGTTTCTGCCTCAGCCTCAATCTTTACTTTAGGTTTAGCACCTCCAAACTCTCGTCTTGGTTCAGAACTCACTTGTTCCGAGGCACCAATGCCAGAATCTCAATTTGTTATTGGTGTTGAGGCTGTCTGTCTCTCTTTTTCTCTCAAACGCATACTCTCATTTGAGAACTCTTTGATTTTCTCTTCAAGATAACTTATCTCTTTATCAACGTCATCCATGGTTTGAGACCTAAACCTAATTTTCTCAAACAAAGTTCTTTAACAAATAATTGTTCTTATAACAAAAATCACAAGTAGGTTTTAGATCAATTTATCCCACCGCTGCCACCAAAAATTTGTAACGTGTTTTGTGGGTTCGACCATGGATGAGGTATAGATAAAGAATTTTCCTTTACGTTACTTGACGTATTTAGCTGATTGGATTAAATATAAGAACAAACACGATCAATAATAATCAACAGAACAATGATTTAAACTTATCGTCTATATAATTATAATTTTCCTTAATTTGTCATCTCCAAGCCCCTGGTCTGACACTTCTATTTGAGCACTAAAGCTCCCAGACCCTGTAGTTTTAACCACCGGGTTTCCAACACCCGTTTATAATATTTATTTACTACTTTGTTAACCCGTAAGGATCTATGTTTCTCAAATGGTCCGTCTGCAGTACTTTGAGACACCGCAAATGAGAAAAACACAATTCAAATACCTTACCAATGAGACGTCCTCTTCTCTTGACGGCTTCTCTACAACTGAACACCGGGACTTGAATGAGCCCGCTTATATACTTTTTCAAGATCTGCTGAGTCAGATCTTGATCTTCTGAATGTTTGAAACATTGACTGGACATAAGAGATAACTTTTGATTGCTAAGACTAATTTAAACCCTGATTTTATAATTATTAACTTGATCAAAGGAATTTCACTACACTCTGAACGTTAATCATTCAAACGGAAAATATTACCACTTGCTCCATTGAACATAAAAATATTTATTAAAAGAAGGCCTAATTACACAAACATAATTAATTTACAATGATAGATACATACAGGTCTAATAATAAAATTGTAAATTTTTTGTTGAACATGCATTGTGTCCACAAAAAAAGACGACTGTACCTACAAACCTTCATAACACACTAAAACACGTCGTCCGTGTTATGACACAATGTATGCTAAAGTATAGTACTGTAGTATAACCCCACAATGCCAAAATACTTTAAATAGTGAAATATATACCCTGATACAGCTGATACACATGTCAAAATTGTGTTTATTACAGTCTTGAAGTTAATTTGAAAACGTAAATACCTTTCAACCAATCTGCAACTTGATTCGCAGACCAATTTTCAAAGTGAATGTTATTGACAAGAGCTGCAGACATTCTTAATCATAAAAACTTCACTATATATTTTATCCAACGACTGGGTGTTTACATATTATTCACTCACTTCCGGGGCCATCGGGTCAACATGGAATGAGCTCTCATTATCGTGACCACTCTTTTTACGGTGATATGTTTTTTTACAATGAAAAAAGGGTATATTTATGAATAAAAATATACAAGTGTAGAAAAAATTATTTTAATGGAGGCCATTAATATTTGACCTTTTTGTACTTAAAATATTTCGGTCAACAATTGAAATGCACGCATGCGTTTACCACATTCGCCATTTTGATCGAAGACGAGGTCGTATGATTTCGAGGTTGGTGACTCGTTTTCACACCCTTCTGCCTCTTTTTGCTTTCCCCGCTAAATGAAAACATAAACAAACTGACAAACACATGTTTTATGGTTTAAAGTATTTGAAATACGATTTTATAACATGAGGACCTGCCAGTCATTTATTTAAGGTTTTTAACAATGAATGTTTGTCTCAGGAGGCATTTTCTGCGTTCAATTTGATGTAGGCCTAATCGTTTATCCCGAGCCTAAAATGAGAACTCAGTATCAGTGTCTAATATCCAAAAAAAAAAACAAAACAAAAACATGATCAGTTTTTCCCCAATGTCTGTTCAACGGGTTTTATATTTTGAAAACTACCTTTATCAGTGTTTACACCATGTTTACTCTTCTTACTATTTAGTTACTGGGAGTTCAAAAGGCGGATCTAACATTTTTTGAGGAATACATATATTTATAGCCGTCTTCTCTCAGCTGTATTGAAAAAAGCACTGTGTCAAATTATCAATTTATATTTACATCCACTGAACATTTTCTCCTTTATTTCTTAAGAAACCCCATTGCTTTCATCACTGCATAAACTACAGTAGGCAGGTCGCCTGTACAGATTTCTTTATCAGTGGCTGTTCCATCAATGAAACGTATAAAGACGTTCGCATCATTAATACAATAATTAATCTTTTTAATCCTACTTTAATTGATTATTTAAACAGATATAAATATAAACAATAAAATGCTTTCTTTGTTTGTTGTTACTGGAATGAACGGTCGCAGCTATTGCAGAAAAAATTTACATAACCCGCTTACGCGGGTTATGTATTTTTTCTGCAACAGCTGCTTCCGTTCATTCCAGTAACAACAAACAAAGAAAGCATTTTATTGTTTAAATAACTAGCCTAATAAAGATAAACCTGGAGGCTGGAGCTGGGGGGGGGGGGGGGATATAACCTTAATTAAATGGAAATAAAGTTAAAGAGCAAAATTAACATTAAAAAATAATGCATCGATCATGTGTATTTTAAAGAATGATTGAATTTTAAAAGCTCATGAACACATATTTAAATGCATAACCTTTTTTTTGACATTTTATACCTTGTATGAACTCAAGTTTAAGTTACTGTAGCTTCTGTTTTTTTCGCTAGTACTTACTATCGCGATTGAAAGGCTTCTTCAACGTCAAATCATGAGTCAGAATAATTATTCGCGAATGGACAGTTGATCAAGAGATTATACAGATATTTCAGCACCACAAAAATAAACGCAAGTAATTTTATATTTTATTCAGTGAGTGGTGCTTCTCGCAGCAAATATTAAAATATATATGCAATGATTAATTCAATGCATATAATTAGGAATCTACAGTAACTGCAAAGCAATTTTAAATCATAGAAATTTAAAAGTGTAATTTGTTCCAACTCAGGTTATACAAGTATGTCAAGCTTCCAGGTAACGTAAGTTTAATCATTAAGTGCAAAAAATAAGGTAATTTTCTTTTCCAATGTTTTAGAAAAAAACAATGGTGGATTGTTTAGACATGGTAAGTTCAACTTCCGAAGTCATTAACACAGTTACCATGGTGTCTGGCACAGAAACTGATGACATCATCACAATTGATCCAACTCTGAAGGATGATTTGAATGATGAAACAATTGTGGACACAGAGACAGGACTAGCTGTTACATCCAGTATGGAACTTTTTGTTCATCGTAACAAATTCAAATATAACTTGATAACCATTTTAAGTTTAATGAACTCCTTTTTGTATAGTTTTATTTTTTAAATAAAATAATGCTATGAAATTCTGTATTGACAAATGCACCATAATTCACAAATATTTTATTGCTCAGTAACATGCCATACTACGTACAATATAAAAAAAATGATGATAATTATTTTCTTTATTGATAAAAGAATTGGCACGTTATTTAAGGAATAATCTGTTGATGGCTTTAGATATATTCTATGTTATACAGTCATGTATTTCACTTTTTCAGTGTCCCCTAGTCTTGCTAACCCAACCATTCAGGGCCTGCTTTCCTCTCCCGCCGGGCTTACTTTGCCCAGTGGGCAGCTCCTGACAACTACAGACGGGATACAGATCATTGCTGTCAATGGAACCAATGACCTCACCAGGGAGGGGCAGATATGGCAGGTGGTCCACCCCGACATGGCCACTATCATCGCTGTAAATGCCGATCAGACATTTGAAATTGAACCCAAAGAAGAGGATAAACTAGGTAATGAGCTCTCTGTAAAGAAAGTGCACAAACATGTAGAATAAATAATACAGCTATTCACAAAAAAGAAATAATCAGAATACCTCAATGATTTTGTAAAAGCCTTCATACTACAGTTTTGGTAATTTTGTACACAAGAAGACTAAATCAAAACTCATGAATCTTATATCTAAGATTTTAAAAGAACTTGTGACTATTTAAAAAGCTTTTCCTCCTTTAAATTTTGTAAAAAAAAAAAAAAAAAAAGATTAGGAATTTTGTAAATATTAAACTTCATAGAAAAGTTTTCAACCTCAGATACAACTTAATTCTCCCAATGTCATAAATACAAGTCAGTAGAGCTAAAACTTATCAGAGACTTGATTTGTAGGTGATACTGGCATATCGGTAGAGCTACGTCTTATTATTTAAAGACTTTTAATTGTAGGTGATACTGATAGATCAGTAGATATAAGTCTTATCAGAGACTTGATTTGTAGGAGTTAATGACAAATCAGGAAAGCTAAGACTTATCCAAGACTGTTGATTTGTAGGAGATACTGACAAATCAGTAAAGCTAAGTCTTATCCAAGACTGTTGATTTGTAGGAGATACTGACAAATCAGTAAAGCTAAGTCTTATCCAAGACTGTTGATTTGTAGGAGATACTGACAAATCAGTAAAGCTAAGTCTTATCCAAGACTGTTGATTTGTAGGAGATACTGACAAATCAGTAGAGCTAAGTCTTATCCAAGACTGTTGATTTGTAGGAGATACTGACATGCAGGATGGTGAGACTAGTCGCTCAGGGACTGGATCGGTCGGGGACGGGGTACCAGACAATGCTGATGTTCTCCCCCCAGACACTCCACTGTGGGCTCAGAGGATGAACAAGTGTCAGGTCAGTCTCTGTTAGTGGTCCTTATTATGAGGACTAGTGGGTCAATATGATAGTCAATACACTACAATGTACCTTACTTGCAATTGAGGAACCCCCCCCCCCCCCAATTATATGACAGCCCAATTCATATTTCATCAAAGTAGTATACACATTTAATAGATACAAAACAAAAAAATGGGTATATCTAAGATATAAGCAAAATATGTATGGTATACATGTGCAGATTTTATTTTTCAGTGCATGTATGTACAAATAAAATTTTATTGTGCAAATGGGTTAATTAAATGAGAAACCACCTGATAGACAGATAACCATTTTCATCGACCAATACAGATACATGTACTGCTTGGTTATTCAAGACAACCCTATTACTTTTTAATGGATATGCATGTAGTTATTTCTATCCATAGTTAATTAAATAACTTACTTTGGATTTTTCAGAAAATAGGAGACTACTACCGAGGGTATGTGGATTCTGAAGCTGACCTTGACCTTTTGTTGACCTACCACAAGCAGCAGACCCAGAGTTTCTGGGGCACCCGTCAGTCGCCCTGCCCCGCCAAACCCTCCACCCGACTCATGTGGAGGTCACAGTATGTCCCGTTTGATGGAGTTCCTTTTATGAATCTAGGTGAGGAGTGGTTAATCAATGTATTGAATGTAATCTAAATTGAGTAAGAGTAAACTAAATTGATCATAGCTAGCCCTTAATTTCAGTAAAACTTTGTACATTTATAGATCATATTATTTGTAAAAATAACATGCATTCCGGTAATGATTGTTCTATTTACTATCTTACATTTTATCTTACATTTTGTTTACATATGCATTGTTTTGACTTAAAATACCAGCATTGGTAGAAGTGATTAAATTCTACTGTTAACCTGTCACACAGAAAATGTAAAGAGTGTTTGCCACGTTGTATAAATTATCATAATGTTACTATACAGGGAGTAGAGCGGTAGTCATGGAGTGTCAGTTTGGGCCAAGGCGACGAGGAAATGCCAAAAACACATCTACAGAGTATAAACAAACCTGTCCTGCAAGGTATTCACATATAAAACACATTTACAGAGTTCAAAAAAACCTGTCCTGCAAGGCAGAGCTCCAGATAATTTTTTACCCCAAAGTGTATTTACTCCCTGATTTTTTAATCAATGCAGATTTTGATTTTCAGCAAAATGATTGAAGAGTATTTTGTTTATAATTATATAAGTGTTTTGACCTTTATTTTGAGCTTGTAATTGAAGTATGTGTTTTTGAAGAGGGAAAAAAATGCAAAGGTCAGTTCCTGCATTTATTTAAATAAATTTTATAAATACCAACAAGACTTTATGCTAAGATTGGGAAGCATTCTTTTTTGACATGGAAGATTATACAGTAGTTCAAGGTACCATATAGTCAGAGACACAGAAAACTTTTCCTTCATTTAAGATATCGTATCAAGAGTAAACTGAGAGAAAAGAATCTTCGTTAATGTGGCAAGTTGAGAGAGTTTAAAAATTGGCTATGAACCCATAATAAAAAAAGTTATGCCTAGTGCATAATCTTTCTACGTAAAAATTGATTTTAATCTAAATCTCTGATTCTTCCTCCCGAAATGGAGATCGTCGTCGCCATTACTAGAATATTCCTGGTCACTAAAAGGCTTTTAAATCTGTACTTCGTTTTGAGAAAAATCAAACACTGCAGAGTTAACCTCAATTCGTATCATTAAGTAAGTCGTACCTGTGTTCTTCAACTTGTTGTATGCAGTGGTTTTGTGATGTAATGCGTATCTATGATTGCTAATGCGTAATTGTACACTCTATTTTAATTTTCAATGCGTATTTTGTAAAATTTAATGCGTATATTTCTGCAAATACGCTCCTTAGGCCACCCTTAAAAAATTATTTGTTTGGAATTGCCGCCTGGAGGGTTTCAGACACAGGAGGGAGGGAGGGAAATTTTTTTTTTTTAATTGAAGATAAATTTTAAATTTTTTTTTATAAAAATCTCAGTAAACACATTTTCTGACTTTTTAAAAAAGTATCTACCATCAACAAAGAAACTTAATTTTGCATAGATATGACACTACATTTCAGTGTTTTGTATTGTGCATGTGATAACGGGCAAGAAAAAAAAAAACTTCCTACTTTTGATCAATAAAATTTTTTAAGTAGGGGGCATTTCAATGAGGGGGGAGGCAATTCCAAACAAACAATCAATTTTATTTTGGCCTTATCTGGTGCTCTGTGCAAGGTATTCACACAAAACACATCTACACAGTACAAGCAAACCTGTCCTACGAGGTATTCACACAAAACACATCTACACAGTACAAACAAACCTGTCCTGTGAGGTATTCACACAAAACACATCTACACAGTACAAACAAACCTGTCCTGCGAGGTATTCACACAAAACACATCTACACAGTACAAGCAAACCTGTCCTGCGAGGTATTCACACAAAACACATCTACACAGTACAAGCAAACCTGTCCTGCGAGGTATTCACACAAAACACATCTACACAGTACAAGCAAACCTGTCCTGCGAGGTATTCACACAAAACACATCTACACAGTACAAACAAACCTGCCCTGTGAGGTATTCACACAAAACACATCTACACAGTACAAGCAAACCTGTCCTGCGAGGTATTCACACAAAACACATCTACACAGTACAAGCTAACCTGTCCTGCGAGGTATTCACACAAAACACATCTACACAGTACAAACAAACCTGTCCTGCAAGGTAATCACATATAATGCTGAGATTGTTAAATAAAGAGCTGGGGGGGGATGCATGTAATTCAATAAAACCAACTGAACCACTGGTTTGCTAACTTTATGTAGATTTTAAATACAATATAAAGTAATTATATGAAAAATGGGAAATTATTTATCCATTTTTTTTCAGAATATATATCAAAAAGGTCAAGAAATTTCCTGAGTTTGCTGTAGATGTTAATCAAGATAAGAAATCCCTCAAAGCTGCAATGGACAACGCCTTTCATCAGCTGAAGGTTCTTGGAACCAATGACATTGGTAAAGAATTGTAAGTAAATACCGTCATTAGTCAGACAATTTACCGTCCAAAATATGTTTGTTGTTACACAGTCTCCTCTGCCATTGTTCAAATTTGCCAGAAGTTTGTCGGAGAGAAATTTTAAAATCTCAAATACTCCAATTTTACACTTTAAAAATGCAGGCTATAAATTGCTAGCAAATACCCAACAAATTTAACTGCAATTTTCACAGATCGTATGCAATATTCAGACTGCAGAATTAATCGCTTACAAAGTAGTTAGTTCACTTGTCACAAAGATTTGATGTCTTTGATCAAGAGTCTATTTCAAAAATAATGTATACGAGGGTTGATCAAAAAGTTCGTGGAATTTCTTTATATTTCATTCATTTATAAGTGAAATTGGTTGAAAATTACAAATGATAATATAGACACTTGTTGAATATTTTAAATTAAAAAATATTTTAAAGATTTGTGATAGTAACTCTATAGCAATTGCCATAGAAACAGATGTTTGGAAATGCGGGGGAGACATCAACGCGTTTATTATCATTTTAATTCTTAATACTTGAAATGAGAATAAAATCGCTCTTCGTGTTATAGAAAGCGAAAATTATGTCATTATTACGATTGCTTGATCTTTTATAAACCTTTGTGTGTGTATTTTAGTGATTTTACTGGATATTTTGTTTATTAGTTGATAATTTATTGTTAATCTTAAGGTTGTCATACGACGTCAAATTTCGTCAAGTCATAAGTTTTGTGAAAATCTCGGGATCACTCTGTCTTAAATACGTATATTATTGACATAGACTGAGGAAAAATGCATTTAGCCACTGCTTTTCCATTGGCGTAAGAAAGTGAAGAAAAATAGAACTTTCCTGGACGTTGATTAAAGGTGTAGCCGCCTTTTTGAGGCTCTGTTTTAAGTGTTTGTCCCCCTTGATAAATTGAAAGCCGTTAATAGACTTGTCGGCTGACGTACTGTTCTTGACATTGCTACTGAAATCGGAACATCATATGGAAAGATGAGGGGTATTTTGAAATATGAGTAAAAAATGAAGATAAATTGGTGCGAGAGCATACCCAGGTTTTTCTTGAGAAAAAAAAATGGAGAAAAGGGCAGCATTTTGAAGAATTACGTGTTCAAATTTGACATTAGGGTGAGATGATTCTATAACGTGATGTGATACCTAACTTGACGTTACGTCGAAGTCTCCCACGGGTTTCACAACCATCCATTTTCAGAAAGCACGTGTGACCTTATTGGTAATTGGAACGTGGTGAAATTTTCTAGTATTGTTGCATTATGACTCTATTTTATAAATACAGCTTACTCCACTTATATTGAACTCGCTTATTATGAAATTCCGCTTATTTTGAAATAGAAATAAATCCCCAGTTTTTGCCTCTCATATTCTTTGCATTAAAATAACGGTTATATTGAAATTGGATATATTGAAATTTCGCTTATATTGAAGCCACTGATCGGTCCCCACAGGTGATAATGAGTTGTTTTCATAACGGTTATATTGAAGTACTCCCTAGCGGCTGTCGTTACGGTTGGTGACAGTAATTATGCCTGATTGACCAGTTGATATACAAAGGTGTGAATAATTAAGTTTTCACCTTATGTTTTTTCATACTGCATGCTCTTACGAAATAAAATTTTTCACTGTTAAATTCTTTGCGTCCACGTATATGATACGGACATATCGAGACTAAACATCTAAACGTAATATAGTAACCCCCACAGATCTTGGAAAAAAACATAACTCTGAAATTGAATACGTACTGTTGGTGGCTATTGATATGCCTAAATTCGAAATAACTAAGAGACTGATTAGCCCGAGTACACTTACGATGAAATGCAAGCAGCGTTCAGCAGTACTCAGCCGTTTAAGTCCTGTGATTTTTTTCCAAAACGTAAATAAATGCGATTGGGGAATAATAATTAATGAGGTTCAAGATTGTCTTTTCAATGAAACAGAAATTAAAAAAATATTTAAACTTTCAAGGACTCATAATCTATGTAATCTGTTCACTGTTGTAGACGATGACAAAATTAATTTATTCGGGTTTGATCTTCTTTATTTTAGATAGGGATTGAACTTGTAAAAATGGCGGCTTCACGATTTCGCTTATATTGAATTACGGATATATTGAAATAATTTGCATGGTCCCCTGAATTTCAATATATCCGGAGTAGGCTGTATGCCTATTATTTGCTTTAGTCAAATCATGATAAAATTTTAGAAAGAAATTCCATGAACTTTTGGATCAACCCTCGTATGTCTAAGTGTGCAGTATTTCATGTATCTGTGGTGTCAATTAGATATATTTTAAAAAGAAAGGCAATACAGTGGATTCCACTTAATCTAATAGAAAATTTGTCAGCCTTCTGTTTTCAGAAAAGCTGTAGAATTATCCTACAGAAATATATTACCAAAAAAAAATTAGATTGGAGTACAAATACATGCTTTCAATGTTTTAGGTATTATGTCCAGTTACCTATAGAGAAAGCCCATGAATTCCACGGAGAGCTGCAGCTGACCCCAGCGGAGGCCCCCGCGACTGTAGCCCCTGACCCAGAGTCCCCCAAAGAGAGACTGGACCCCCGGGTCCGACAAAAAATCCGAGAACTCGTGGCAGCGGGAGAAACCAGTGTGTACGCTGTCAGAAAACAGCTGAGGTCAGCAGGATTTACTTTGATACAATCATCAACTGAGATTTATATCAGTTATTATTCCTTTATATCATACAGCTATATAGTCTGATCTCATCTGGAATTCAAGATGGTTAATTTTCTATTTAAGTAAGTTTAGAAAAAAAGACAATTTTTGATATAAATAAGACTAGTTCCAGATGTTGTCCAAATAAAATAATATATATCAGTACATATGTATTACAACAGACAAAATACCTGTAATCAGATTAGTGGCTTTGTCACTCTGTGCTCATATTGCTTGGAACTAAGATTAGAAAAATTAATTTAACCTTTTTATTTAAGCTGGCAACAAGTGAAATTATCATTTTTATTCCCATCATTGCATGCTTAATGAATAAGATAAAAATCTAACCAGATTATTTGTAAAATCTTTACTGACAGTTTTTCAGTAATATATGTAATACATAGAGGAGAGGGGGCCAAAAATTAATTACAAAAAGGATTTTTTTTAAATAATCATTTTGGAAGCAATTGAGGTTGATTAATTTCAGTATCTATTGCTTTTATGTTGTCAGATAATTAAATAAGTTCTTGTTAATTAATTTCAGAACTTATGTGTCCAAAGTGCTGTATCTGGGTACAGAGGTACCGGAGAGACATGACTTGACCCTGTTTCCTACAGTCAACGACCTGAAGAATCAGATTCACCAGGCCATGGTAGACGTTGAGAATGGGACTCTGGCAGTTACCACTCCTCAGGTGGAGCAGCTGTCAGATTTATTGACTGATTTAGCAGTGTGATATTTATGATTTGTTAGGTCTGTGTTGTTTTATTTATCTTTGTTTTTATTATGGACAGGTTAATGTGGAGATTGTTGGTCAGTCCTCAGCCAGGCAGACAACCGAGTTTTCTTCTGTAGTGGACGGCTCTGTGTGGTCATCTGATGGTGTGGAGCCCGTCCCGGAGACGGTCACTGTGACCCTGACCCAGAAACCAGGGGATGGTAAGTAGCATGACATTACATGTAACCCGAACCCAGTAAACAAGGGGGGGGGATAGCAGAGGCATTACATATAACCCTGACTCAGAAACCAGGGGACAGTAAGTAGCAGTGTGACCCTGACCCAGAAACCAGGGGATGGTAGCTGGTAGCGGGGCATTTCATGTTACCCTGACCCAGAAACCAGGGGACGGTAGTGGGGCATTACATGTGACCTTGACCCAGAAACAGGGGGACAGTAGGTAGCAGGGCATTACATGTGACCCTGACCCAGAAACTGGGGGGTGGTAGGTAGCAGGGCATTAAATGTGACCTTGACCCAGAAACCAGGGTACGGTAGGTAGCAGGGCTTTACATGTGACCCTGACCCAGAAACCAGAGATGATAGGTGGTGGGGCATTACATGTGACCCTGACCCAGTAACCAGTAACCAGGGGATGGTAGCGAGGCATTACATGTGACCCTGACCCAGTAGACAGGAGAGGGTAGGTAGTGAGGCATTACATGTAACCCTGACCTAGTAAACAGGCATTTTACATAGTACATATACTAACCAAGGCTTGCATTTATATTGATTTATATAATATTCAAAGGGGTAGATGAGACTTATAGATAAAATTTGAATTATCATTCAAAACTCCCTTTATAAAATTTGTTAATATAATCTTTGTTTTACAGATGGCCATCATGTGATATCCCGCATTGAGACCCACTTGAGTGATGGTTCTACACGGATCAGCACACACCTGACACCAGAGACGGCCCAGCTTCTGTCTCGTCTTCATCCTAACATGTTCCCTGCAGGATGTCTTCTACCTGTACGTACAATTCTTAATACACTGTCTTCTTAAATATTTGTCATTTTACGTTACTTTAGCTTTTTGACATAAGACTGAATATTTTTACCAAATTGAATATAGCTTTTCCATTTGATTTAGTGTGAAACTTGTATTCCTCCAAGCATGGCTTAATTGTTATCAGTTGGATATTGACCTATTTTAGGGCCATATCACATATTGTGATAGTTACCAATCTTAAGCCAAGCATGTTGGTATTTTCTTCATTGCAAAGATATGGTCCACGTAGCATCCTTTTGTGCTATTGATGCCTACTTCATGTTCTGTTTCAGTCCAATGATCCCGATGAATCTCAGCAGTCCCTGATCGAGTCTAAAACAGACGACTTCCCCCTGAAGGAGGACTCCTCTGACACTCTGTGTATCAGTGCTATCCCCCCCTCCACCAGCCAGATCCCCCCCATGTTAGACGGTGCAGAGACCCATGACATAGAATCCCTGGCTGTGATAGTTAACAGTGACGAGTGTGCTAGTCAGACAATGATGGTGTCTATAGACAATGGTAACCTTGACAACGCGTCAGATCCTCCATCCATCGTCCATCACGCAGAGGAGGAAGATACCTCAATAGAAAACCAACTCAACTGTGTCGGTGTTTCCATGGAAACAGACTCCGAAATCATTCTCAGTGATACACCTGTGTCAGAATTTCAACCTATTACGGATTCCTAGTGCAATATTTTAATTTATTTATTTCTTTGTTATGTTACTGAGCTTTTTATTTTGATAGCTAAAATTTTATTTATTTATATTGAGCATGCCTTAAGTTGTGTATTTTTGGATCTGATATGAGAGGTAGACATATGGTGATCAGTGTGAATTGTACAATTTTTCATTTTATCTTTTTCCTCTAAACATAATGATTTGCAAGATTGAACCCTTTTTACAAATCTAATTAAGGACCCTCCATTGTTGTGGAAAAATTAGAAACAGATCACCAACACTCCATGAGAATGCAGCAGGTATTTTGTTTAGACGATGGTCATTGTGAGAACAGTCAAGCATGTCTGATGAAAAATGTATTTTTGGACTTTGAAAAACTTACATTAAAATTTAATGCCTTCTTTACTTAGGAAAAATCTCCAAAAACAACATAGGACTGATAATTATATACTGATAAAAAAAATCTATGTTGACACAAAAAGGCATGCAATAAAAGTTTTTAATTTCTCAATCTTGGAGAAATATCATTTTTAGGACTCTTGAATTAATTACAAATTATTTATATAATATGTCATACAGTGCAGATTACATGCTATTCTGTTTAATGTCAAATAGTGGTTCAGTCTAATTGCACAATAGTACCTTGAAGTTAGTGTGTAGTGTAAAGAGGGTCCTTAATTTTCAGATTTTATATTCAATTCCTAGCTTTGATTTTGCTTATCTTTCCTTACCAGAGAGTTTGAAAAATTAAAATTGTTTTATAATGACATTTTTTGTATAAGAGTACAAGTACATGTATATCAGGAATTAACACTTTCACATTTTTAAGTACGTATATTAGCATTTATGTTTTGACAGTTAATTGTTAATACCCAAAGATGACCCATGAATATCAAAATACTATATACAGGAAATTTTTGCCCCAGTTTTATTTGTTTTGTTTTCACGAATACTCTTAGGTGGCTAAATATGAAATTGGACAAATTAAAAAGAAACAGTACAATTTGAAACGGAATTGTGATTAGGGGAATTTAAAATGGAGCAAAATTGTTGCAAGTGTGAAAGGGTGAAAATAACACTGCATACAGTATTCTCAAAGAGAATGTCTTTCAATTTTTAAAGTGATCAACAAGTGCACAGGACTATGAATTGCGTATCTTTTGATACCCTTGTCTTTCTCTTTTGGCAGACACAAATTACACTAACAATACTAGCATGTTTCTACATGTACTTATCTCATACAGTATTTTTCTTTTCTTTATGGAAAGCAAACCAAAGATATTTTATTATTGGACAGACAGTGAGGCTGAGATGTCTTAAAATGAAGGCTTTAATCATAAATAATGTGTACCAGGCAAAATTCACTTCTCCTTGTTACACCCCTTATAACTTTGGTTAAGAACATATTTTATTGAATGAATCAAAAGGATTAAAAACAAGTTTTTACAACGTACTGGTTCCCTGTCCTTCACTTCTACTAGGTACAGGTGCTCTGCTGAAGGTTCCAAATAACTATACTACATGTGAATCATTAAAGTCATTTGAAATACTGTTTATTGTGTCTGCTCTTTTATTTTGTTGTAAAACACAGGCATATGATTGAATCAAACAGATGAATGGAATAATTTAATTAATATGCAAAATACGATTGCCCCCTCACAAATTACAAAAGATCATGCAACTGTTTACTGATACATACATGTACACAATCAATGATAATGCCATGACCCATATTGTACGTTCAGCAGATAAAGTATAAAATTTTCTAACATTGCATCAGGTCTGAATGTTACTGTTTTCCAAGGGAAAGATTTGGCATATAATTTTTGCTTAGAAAGAATCACAATACATGTATTCACTAAACGAAGGAGAGGTGAAACATGACCAAACTCAACAACCAACAGAGGAGAGCAATAAAAATATTTTTCCATACGTTAGTAAGGTGGAAGACAAGCAGTTTAATGGTATTCATTAATAAATAATGCTAAATAAATGGTTGCTATGATGGTTAAACATTTTTCAATAGGTAAATACAAATCATGACTAACTACTAGCTGCAGAACTGTAGTATAATGGTTTTTAATATTAGTCATTGAAAACAAAGAATACTTTTGCTATTTATACAAAGAAGGCAAATTGTTTAGTTTCCCCCTTTCATCAGCGATTTGTTGTCCCTGCTTTTGTAAAAGCGAGGAGAACATTACATGTATATCTAATTCATATGTCATTCGGCCAATCTGAAGTCTCTCCATCTGTCAGTTACTAAAATTCAAATCTGGTTCAAGACTTTCAAGGAAAAAAAGTTTCAGCTTTCATTTTTCAAAAATTCCATACTTCTATTTACCAAGGCCTTTAAAAAAAATACCAATGAGTTTTTATCTTGTGTTCTTGACCGATTAGATTTACTCTAGTATTTTTAAAAATAAGCATTTGTGTAAGTAATGAAAATTTGGAATGAAAAATTGAGGACGTCGATTTCTGCCCAGTACATTATCTGTGACAGGGCCTTAACTGACATTGGCGATAACTTTCGAATGAGAAAATGAAGGCATTCATATTTGGCTGGTACTAGTATATTTATACCTGTTACAAGGCCTTCCCAATTGTACCATAATATTTACCATCGTGAACATCGTCTTACTTTTCCAGATAAAAAATACTGTGTCGTTAGTGACATCTTTTGAGTGTCATCAGTGACATCTTTTGAATGAAAAATAGGGTAATAATATTTGATCTGTACATCAACTGTGACAAGATCTTTGCTCATTTACCATCATTTTTTAACTTGTGATCTTGATTTGAAATTTGAACCCCTTTTATTAGAAAAAATATAATTGATGAAAAGAAGATTTGACATTTTTGACATTTGCATTACCTGTGACAAGGTCTTTTTATACCTTGAAGTTTGACAAACTCCTCAAAGTTTATATTACTGGAAGAACTTTAGGATAAGAAAAGATTATATGATTCATATATATATTTGAAATGTGTATTACCTATTACAAGATCTTTAAGTATTCTCAGAATTCTCAGCAAGGACATATGCAAAGAAAACCGTTAAAAAAAAGAATTTTTATACAACTGTACAATGTATCTCTAATCTAAAAATGAATCCTTTTTCTGTTTCTCCAATACATGACTATAAAAAAATAACTATAAAGCATAAAACAAAACCAAAAAAATTCTCCAGTCCAATTCTTCTCAACAACTTTAAAAGTTTTCAAAATGGCCGGAGGTTAAGTGAACGTTACAAATGATTGATCACATAATTAGTTCCCATTTAGAAAAACCCGTTCAGAATGAGTGCTACTAAGTCCAAATCTTCGGTCAATAGAGCAAAAACAAGCGAAACAACTAATAATATATCAAATGATATGTAGACAGAGGAATACACACAATAAAAAAATATATTATTAGATTATTTTTGATTTTACTTATTATGAAGTCAATTTTCTGTCGTACTCACTGTAGCGTATAATGTAAAGCACAGTAAAGTCAGTTAAAACCACAAATGCCAGATTAGATCTAGCCCTTCATCCTAATTTTGAATAGCCAATAACATTAAAAATTTTAGGATTTGCTTGCCTTTTTAGCTCACCTGAGCTGAAAGCTCAAGTGAGCTTTTCTGATCACCCGTTGTCCGTCGTCCGTCCGTTTGTAAACTTTCCACATTTTCAACTTCTTCTCAAGAACCACTGGGCCAATTTTAACCAAACTTGGTACAAAGCATCCTTGGCTGAAGGGGAACTTAAGGGGGGACCTATGTCGTTCTACGTCAAAGTAGCGTTATGTGACGTCACAATAGCGACGTTAGATTTTCACCAGTTGACTTTTGCAACCCTGATATAGGCATAACATTGTTATTGATCAATAATGTACACAATTTACAAAAACAAAATTTATTCATCATTAATAACAGTTTTATTTGATTTATGGAGTTTGTTAATATTAGAATTCTCTTCCTTTGTTTGATAATATTCATAGTTATTTCAGTTGTGAAGAAATACCTCAGTGATATGCTGATATAAAGGGGACGACCATTTGATTCTGAGGAGGGGGCCTGGCAGATTTTGGAAATAAATAATCTGTCCCTGAAAATGTTGAAAATAAATAACCTGTCCTCCTCTGCTTGGGCCTCTTGTAGAAAGAAAATAAATAATCTGACCTTGACTTATGATATTTAAATATTGTGTAAATACCTTTTTCTTTACGTTCAATTTAACCTCAGAATCTTCAATTCAGCCATTTTAGAACCAAATAGTATTTGAAATCAGATTACCAGACTGGATACTTGTAGTCAGTTGATCAGCATGGCAATGTGCACTCAGTAGATGTGATGAATCACTTTAAATACAAGCCAATTCTTAAACACCACAAAAGATAAATTTTCTTGTCGAAAAAGTATACTTCCCGATAAATTAATACAAAGTATACAGTGGCGGATTTAAGGAAGGCGAACATCTGTATGATCCCTCCCCTAAAATTTCAAAGTATGATATGAATAATATTAATATTGCCATAGTTTAGTACAATACCAATATTTTTGTGCCTAGTTTTACTCTTAAAATACACAAAAACCCAAGTGTTTCAGGGGGAGAGCCCCCTAGGCCCCCTTCATTCAAAGTATGATATGACTAGTATTAATTAGGTCATACTTTAATTGGAACATAACTAACCAATTCCTACATAATTGTCCTGGTTTTATTCTTAAAATACCCGAAAACCCAAGAGATTCTGGGGAATTTCCCTCCCTTGGCCTCCACCAGTTGCTTCACCCAGGACCCACTGAGGGCCTTAAGGCGGCCCCAGACCTCTTGCTTGAACGATGTTATACACGCCCCCCCCTTCCCCTCCTGAATCCGCCTATGGTCTGTAAGTGATTAGTTTTTTTAGAATCAATCGATCAAGGTACGTAAGACAAAGAAGAAAATAAATAATCTGTCCTCGATAATCTTGAAAATAAATAATCTGTCCTTGACAGGCATGAAAATAAATAACCCGTCTCAAAAAAATTTGCCAGCCCCCCCCCCCCCTCAGAATCAGATGGTCGTCCCCTAAGTGCAAAAAGATTTAAGATAAAATTCAGTAAAGAAAGCGACTTTAATTAGGGAAATATATTTAAATCTATGTTTACCATTAATTTTATTTAAGCAAATTGTAATTAAGCAAAACCAAGGATAAAACTAAGAAAAAAAATTAAGAAATGTATTTGTACCTATTCATAGTACATGTAGATTTTATTGTATAAAGTCATTCCTAGGTTCTGAATAAGTGTTGGTTGTTGACGGGGAAATGGGGGTGGGGGAGGGGGGGGGGAATGATTAGAATGAAGAAGAAAAGAATAAATCTGTTTAAATTGTTTCTTATCAAAACAAAATACTTGTTTTTCGCAAATAAGTTTTATATTCAGATGTTTGTCAGTGCTTACTTACCTTTTTAGTGCAGAAAGGTCAATATCAATGACACAAGAGTACAAAAATAAAAGAAAACATCATAGTTCTCGTTTATTTTATCATAAAGGTACACTTTTTTCTTTGTTAAAATAAAGAGATGAATCATTTCTTTTAAAAAATATGAATTACAACATTTTCGCACAAAGACTTTTTAAGATATTACCTATTATGCATGTCGGAATTGTAAAAAATACGACAAGAAAACGGGGTGATACTTACATTGTGCTCCTTTATAATTTTTCATGCGAGATGAATTACAATGAATTTGCCTTCATTTTAAAGATACAAGTCATATAAATTAAATACTTAATGATTTCAAATGTGATTTGACATTTTTGGTTCTTTTTAGCGTATATTTGGAGTAGAACAATAATGTCTTAAAATAATCTATTTTTAGCATTTCACACTGTTTTTGCACGTGCTCCTGTGTGCAAAAATAAGCATATAAAGGTATTGTTTTCAATACCTAAAAATTAAGAGCAAGTGGTCAGGAAAGAAATGTCAAAAGTTTGAAAATTTCACACAAAGACTTTTCGGACATAGGTCCCCCCTTAAATTGTAAAATCAAGGGCCAAGTCCCTTTCCAAGGGGAGATAATCAAGAAAATACAAAAATAGGGTGGGGTCATTAAAAAATCTTCTTCTCAAGAACCACTGGGCCAGAAAAGCTGAAACTTATGTGGAAGCATCCCGGGGTAGTGTAGATTTTAAATTGTTCAAATCATGACCCCCGGGGGTAGGGCAGGGCCACAATAGGGAATCCAAGTTTTACATAAAAATATAGAGGAAAAATCTTTAAAAAATCTTCCGAAGAACCACTGGGCCAGAAAAGCTGAAACTTATGTGGAAGCATCCTGGAATAATGTAGATTCTGTTCTGTTCAATTCATGGCCCCCGGGGGTAGGGCGGGCCATAATGGGGAATCCAAGTTTTACATTGAAATATATATGGAAAAATCTTTGAAAATCTTCTTCTCAAGAATCATTGGGCTAGAAAAGCTGAAACTTATGTAAATCTTGGGTAGTGTAGATTATAAATTGTCCAAATCTTTACCCCTGGGGATAGGGCTTGGTCACAATTGCTATTACAAAGGGGGAAAATCTGATAAAGAACAGCATGGCCAAAGGTTCTCAGGTGAGCGATGTGGCCCATGGGCCTCTTGTTCAATGTAGAGCGGACAAAAATGTCTGCTAGTATATGACAGAAAGAGCTGTTTTTGGCTTGGTCGCCTTTTTCTGGGCTCTAACATTGTATATACATTGTACGTTTTTAGGGTTTACTTCGTGGATACAAATCAACATATAATTGTTTGCTGTTATATCATTATTCAAGAATATCAAATATTTGAGAGAGTGTGAGAGTGCAGGGAGAGAGGATGTGAGTGTGCGGGGAGAGAGGGTGAGAGAGTGCGGGCAGAGAGAAAAATTGACAGTGTGAGTGTGCAGGGGGAGAGAAAGAGTGAGAGATCGGGGAGCGAGACTATGAGGGGAGAGAGTGTAGGGAGACATAGTGCATGGAGGGAGATCGCGGGGGAGAAAGAGAGTGCAGGGGAGAGAGAGTGCGGGGACACTTTCTGATCTCCGTTTGCACATAGACATATATAAGAGTACACGTCTCTGCTTTGTGAAATATATTTTTTTCATTTTTTGGCCTTGTGAGAGTTCTTCGATTCGGAAACCTGTTAATGAGAGTTTCCGAATGTATGCCGCCAAGCAACATGTCGCCATGACGTCAAAGAAACCTTAAACAAAAGATTTAGATAAACAAAATGAGAAAATGGATCCAAACGGTCTATATATTAATGATTCAGGATTATAAACATTGTTAATGTAATATGCTTTAAAATTACAAAGAAGACTCTACGTATGAATTTCTAAAGAATGAACCCACGTGTGTTTTTGAAGTTAGATTTAGGATGCTTTAAAAAGGATGATAAAATCATCCATATAGTCAAAATGGTGCACAAAACATTTTCTTCATCCATCTATTTTATTTATAAATAATTATCCTTGAAAATTTCAATGTCAAAATGGGTTTTAAAAATTGTTACCTCCCTGAAACTGAATAATACTATGCTCACACCAAAATAAATAGTATTATAAGGCTACAAGGGCTTTTTGCATGCTATCAAGGCCAACACACTAAAGAGTTTCTTATGTTGTTTCAAATTTATCATTTATTTTGTCGTCACTGCTTAAGGAATAAGAAATGCGCAAAAACCCCGAAGGGTATAAATACAAGCCAATTCCGCCAGTCAGCATCAGTTGTTGTTCAGAAGCCTTAGCATCCATAACACTGCTGTTAACAAAGTAACCATGTTTGAAAATTTGAGGTCGTTGGGTCTCCCTGAGATTTACCGGTAAGTATTTTTAAAAGTATTTTTAAAGTAATATTGAATAAGTAATCTTTAAAGAAAGTATATACTGAGCATGATTTTCATAAAAATAATTAGAATTCTTTTTTTAATGTTCTTTATATTTGTACTAATTAAAAACTCAGAAAAAAAGTTACACCGTATGCGGCGTTTGGCGCAAGAAGAACGTGCTAAAGCAGACATTATGGCGTGTGCAGGGGGTTCCTTTAAAGAAATCTGTAAAAAATGAAAACAATAAAATGCTTATGAATTTCACTCATGAAAATTTGTTTTAAATAGATTATCAAACATAAAAATGTTTACGTCAGATACCCACGCTTTAAGTTAGCAGCATGCAATAAGTTGAAAATCGTTCTACAAAACTACTAGTAGGTCAACCGGAAATTGAGTGGATTTGGTATGGACACTAAATCACCGGATGATTAGTGGACTTTTACGAGAAGCACTGACTTTTACAGTTGACGAATTAGTCTTACATTAGGACAGTTTACGGGAGCTCTTTTACGATATAATAATTTAGCTTAACATCTAATTCAACGAAAATAATGGGCTATTTCAAAGCACAGATAAGTTGTCCTTGAAGAAAACGACAACCATCCTACCCTCAAATCCAGACCTTCACAAAAAAGTGCCCCTAGCACAATTGCCATGACCACTAGAAAGGTTTTCTTTTCTATTATCAATTCTGTACCTCCGTAGATGTGAATGTTTAAATGTCCAACTAAATAGTCAACTGTAAAAGTCAGTGCTTCTCGTAAAAGTCCACTAGGCGATATGATAGTCAATGACTGTTTGTTATTTGATTTATAACTCGGGGACTACTCCTGTTGCAACCTCATAAACCCGACCAATAGTAATCAAAAATTTCATATCTGGGCAAAAATGGTGCGCAATGCACAGCTGGAAATTGCTTTTCGGACACGAAGGTCATTCAAGGGTCTCTTCATGATAAAAAGACATTTGTCAATCCCACTGTTTTGGAAAAAAAATGTATGTTATATACACTAGCACAGATCCGGCAAATGTTCAATCCACAAATAAGAATTAACAAGTGGTGTGTTAGCAATTTTGTCTACTGTAAATAATAATATTATCTTTAATATAATCTTGAATGAAAAATATACACCATGATTTCATTAGATGAGGTTCACACACTGCATCAGTGTATGTGGCGATGTGTGATTTTCTGTGCCTAATACTCCTCCTAGTACACCATGTACATTTTGTAAAAGATCTATATTACAAAACACAATAAAAGACATATTCTGCTTTTCATCAGTAATGTATCATATCAATTCTGCTTTATGACTACCAGTATTATAATAATCTTTATTTGGAGTTAGATAAAACCCGATTAACCTTACGTCTTCTGCTGTTTGAAAAAAAAATTGTAAATCGAACTCAGCATTCATTTAGCCTGTGTTACAATGAAGCGCATTGAAGTGGTAAAATTTTCCATTTGGACGAAACGTTCTGAGTCATGTTTTGAACGTCAATTATAACATAACGACACGCCCATTTCTTTATAAACGAGAAAGGAATATTCGTCGTAATATTTTGGGACACTACACTTTCCGCGACAAGCAACATGAGTTACACTGAAATGAAAGATTTTTAAAAAGAAATTAAGAGCTATGTAAAGAGTTCCCGCTTATGTAAAACACGCATTGAAACGAATTTGTACAAAATTATGATTTTATCATGTATATTGGAGTTAGCATAGCGCATGTATCAGTCGAACACGTGCTTACTCGGTGTTTATGTAGACCGTCAATTTCATTGGCTATTATATCTATGTAATACCTGTTCTACAGATATTCGATTGAAACATTTGACCAATTAATCCTTTCTAAAGAAATGGGCGTGTCTTAAGATACAATGAAGCGCATTGAAGTGGTAAAATTTTCCGTTTGGATGAAACGTTCTGAGTCATGTTTTGAACGTCAATTATAACATAATGACACGCCCATAATTTTAGAAACGAGAAAGAAATATTCGTCGTAAGGTTTTAGGACACCCCACTCTTCGCAACAAGCAACATGAGTTACACTGAAATGGAGCTTTAAAAAATTAGAAGAGAGAGTTAGAGATTCTCCGCTTCTGTAAAACACAAATTGCAACGCATATTTGCATATTTTTGAATTTATCATGTCTGTTGAAGTTACCAGAACACATGTTTCGGTCGAACACGTGTTTACTCAGTGTTTATTTAGACTGTCAATTTGATTGGCTATTATATTTACGGAAAACCTGTTCTACAGGTATTCGAATAAACAAATTGACCGTTTTATCTATTTCTAAAGAAATGGGCGTGTCATCCTATGACAAACAACCGGTTTAAAAGATAGCTCAAAACGTTCCATTCGAACAGAAAATTTTACCACTTCAATTCGCTTCATTGTAGCTCAAAACGTTCCATCCAAGCAGAAAATTTTACCACTTCAATGCGCTTCATTGTAACATTGATCCATGGTAACAATAAAAAAGTTAAAGGCTCTACGAAGGAAAATAAATGTAAAATTCGTTTATTTTATTAGTACATATTTAAAATGATCCGATTTTTTGAGTAAACTATATTTGATGATGTTGAAAACAACCCCTAAAGTGAAAACCATGTCTAGAAAAATTACCGGGAAATCTTTCTCAGCTTCATTCGCTAATTTTTCACTGTGACGTTGCATACGATAAGGTCGATTTAGAACTATCCGACGAGGCTCATATATATTTCTTTGCGGGTAGACAGTTTATAGATGTGTTGGATTGTAGACAGTTGACGATTTGTATGATTACGTTTGTAGACAATTAGAGATGCGTGGTTCGAATGAACGTTGAAGACATGCATATTTTGTTTATTAAAATTAAAAAAGATGTGGCTGGTTTGCATGTTGTTTGGAAAAAAAAAAACAGCTAGGAAGTGGTAGTCTGTCTGCTGATGTTTGTTGGTAGAAGTTGGACACAAAACACCTTCTTTACTTCTGAAGAAAATTTATAATAGATTAATACATCTATAAGAATTCATCAATAGCTGCATCTGCAAGTCAAAAATTGGAGCACGCGTTCAAAAACTTTTCAAAAATGAATAACAGTTGACTTACATGTATACTCATAACTTGGGTTTCGTTAATGGACACGATGATTCTCGTGTGTAGTTGTCGGAACTCCATTGCCAGTCTATTATATAGCAGTTTATTGATTCCGTCATACTTATATCTTCTTTTCCCTGTACTTACTAAATTATGCCTATAAAATTGGATGTTAAAGAATTTGAATTCCGATTCTCTTAAGGCTGTAAAAATGGGATTTCGAAAAAAAAACACCACTAAATTACCGTTTTGAGCGAGTGAGAGAAGCATGATACTAGTATTTTGGTAAAGAATGACTTGCCTTTTTTTATTTGCCTTGTTGCCTGCATTTTTTCGGTGTTTGATCATTTTGTACCTGGACATTGCCATTGGATATCTTGATATATTAAATCCATGATGTACCAACCTATAATGATACTTCAACCTGTATAAATAGCGGTACTCCGATTTTCACAATGCAATGAATTACAATGATACATTAACCTTTGTTATACAAATCTTTATTGATACAGAAACCTTTATTGAGAAATCAAGTTTATTTTGCGATAAATAAACTTTATTTTTATGCCCCGCCATGAATATGGCCGGGGCATATAGTGTTTGTCATGTCCGTCTTCCGTCCTTCTGTCCCTCCGTCGCACTTTGCGTTTAGCTCAGTTCAAAGCTCAGTTTCAAAGAAACTATCCAAGATATTTACATCGAACTTCATAGGGTGATAGATATTGATGAGAGCTATGCAACAGCCTCATCTCATCATTTTTTGACCTTGAGCTTTCCTTTGACCTTGACCTCACTTTTCTTAAATGGGTGTTTAGCTCAGTTTTACCATTCGAATTCAAGATAGTGTTATCAAACTTCATATGCTGAGACATACTGATGAGAGCCATTAAATTGCATCAGCATTTTTGACCATGACCTTTCCTTGACTTCACTTTTCTGAAATGAGTGTTTAGCTCTGTATTAAAGATACCATTCAAGATAGTGTTATCAAAATTCATAGGCTTATACATACTGATGAGAGCTATTCAACTGCATCAATATTTTTGACTTTGACCTTGACCTCACTTTTGTTAAATGAGTGTTTAGCTCCGTTTTAAAGATACCATTCAAGATTCTTTTTATCAAACTTCATATGCTGATCCATACTGATTAGAGCTATTCAACTGCATCAACATTTTTTTACCTTGACCTTTCCTTTGACTCTGATCTCACTTTTCCTAAATTAGTGTCAAACTTCATATGCTGATACATACTGATGTAAGCAATTCATCTGCTTCAACATTTTTGACCTTGACCTTTCATTTGACCTTGACCTCACTTTTTAATTGTGATTAAGTCAGTTTTAAAGAAACCATTCATATTTTTCAACTTCATATGCTGATACATACTAGTGAGAGCTTTTCAACTGTATCAACATTTTTTTTTATCTTGGCCTTGCCTTTGACCTTGACCTCACTTTGCTTAAATTATAGGCAATTCAACTGCATCACTTTTCAAGATATTCTGAAATTTCATACACAAATTCGAACTTTCATGTTGCATTACTGATATACCCTCGGCGGGGCATTCATGTCCTATGGACATATTTCTAGTTTGATATATAACATAATTTTACTAATAAATAACCTATATTTGATACACAAATCTACACTTTGATACACTTTACTAAAACATCAACCTGCACTGGGTAAGCAACATCAGGGGGATATAGTACATGTACTTTTGAAAATGTTCATGATTGAAAAGGCTGGCCGTTCTCCCCTCTCACATTTTGTTGCAGTAATTTGATCAACTCAGTGTGTTAATATAAAAATAAAATTTGGTTATGACAGAAGTTGGCACCTAAACCTAATGGGAATAAAATGCTTTCTTCTAAAACCCTTTATTTGCACCATTTCACCTTTAATTTTATTTTGAAGAAACAGTTGAATTGACCATTGTAGGTTAAAAATAACTTAACTTTTGTGTATTACTAGTATCACGATGTTTTTATAATATTTTGTGTTATACAAGATCTTTTCAACGTAACATAAATCTTATAAAACCATTTTTAACAGGATATATCAACCCTCCGAATTAACCGTAAAATACAAAGCATAGCAGGATCCTAACCTTCTCCACAAACCTTAAAATACACGACAGGACCCCAGCCTTTTGACAGGAACAAATTAAGACATACTGTGACCCGTTCCTTACCTTCTGAACATGTCATCGTCCTCCCCGCCCCAACCAAAGAACTTGTTGGAGTGTCCGTTCACTTTCTCAAAGTGTTCTCGTTTTAAGGCAGTCACTCCACCAAACAGGGTGACATAAGGTAATCTAAAATACATTAATACGTATGATTAATTAAAAATTTGGTGGCATATAGGTTTTGATCTGTCTAGCTGATTGGCTGTTTGTCGAAGTACTCTAACATTGCTTTTAACTTTTAAAGGCTTGTTTGTGCAAGGGCTTTCAAATTTACATTTGCATTTCTTGTGAAAGGAACTTTCTTTAAATAACAACATATTTTCCCTCTTGATCTTTAGCAAGGCGTTTTGCAAAATTTTACTAAACTTTAACCATGGTCATATCTTTTGAATGATTGGAATTATGCTTTGATATTTCAAAAGTCCTAGTATTCCACGTGTATAAGACTTTTCTTTGGGTATGACCATATTCATTTTTTTACCTTGGCCTGTGGATTACCTAAAAAAAACAAACCTTTTTTCTTGCCTTGCATCACATACCTATATTTGAATTTGTCCACTGCACATGACAAATGACGAGGACTTCCGATACAGTCGTACATAATGCGATCATTCTCTGGAATCAAGTCAACATCATGAAAAACGAAGCAGGTGTAGTTGTAGAGTTTGATAGATTCGGCGTAGCCAATGTTCATCAACATCGCCCTATTAAACTGTGTACCATTTATCTACAAAAAAGGATTGCTCCATTCATTTTCCAAATATTGTATAGAAAGTTTTCCATAATTAAAAAATATTTAAATTAGATATTTGATTTGTAATCCAAATAAAAAGTGCAATATATAAGATTCATGCCCTTCTTTTAAATGAAATTAGGCAAATTTGATGTAAAAAAAAAATTAAATCGTAGAAAGATGAAGTATACCGGGGGGGGGGGTTATATTTTCATGATTTTCAAAAATCATAGAAGATAGATGACCTTATTCATAAATATACAAATCTAACATAAGTCTACCATAAAAGAAACTCAGAATTTGTAGAAGGTAAACGGTCTGGTGTATTCTGTACAGTAAATATATTTTGAAAGTACTGTTGTCACAGTTGTTGTTATCATTTTCCAGCAAGCTCACAATTGATGATATAAAACACATTTCAGTATCATGATGCTTACTTAAAATTCTTCCTCATCCAATAATGGACAATTTTCTCAGTTGCAAAGTATATATGTAAGCAGAGTAACTAACATTATCACAATAGGCTTACTCATAGAACCTGGGGATGAGTCTCATTTGGCATTAAATATACATATATATATATAGCTTACTATAGAAAAACAAAGCTACTTTATTTATGTGCCTCCACAGTAAATATTTGTACTTCTGATTTTCTTTCGCTTGTCAGTAGTATAAGCAGCCTGGATGGGGGTCAACTGAGTGCACTTTTTATGCAAATGACGTAGAAAATGCTGAATTCTGACTGGTCAGCGGGATAGGCAGGTCAACTGAGTGCACTTTTGGCCCTGGGGGACAGCCGGGTCAACCAAGTGCACCCCCTGGGGGATAGGGGAGTCAACAGAGTGCACCCCTGGGTCTGGATAGGGGGTTAACTGAGTGCACTTTTAGGGCTGAGATCTGGAAAAACTTATTTTGTCAGATCTCAGGCTTCAGATCTGGAAAAACCCAATTGAAGATGTGAGATCTCAGGCTTGAGATCTGGAAAAACCAATTTGAGATCTCAGGCCGTTTAGGCCTGAAATCTGGAAAAACCCAAGACTATGAATACACAGACTTGGCAGCGATTCAAATCACAGCAACCTATGCATTGTGACGTCATAAACTTGGCAGCGATTCAAATCTTGATTATGACGACACGTTAGTCCTTCACAGCCTCGGTGGCTGGTTATTTTGACACAACAACACAAAATTACACAGCCCTGAAGACTTCATGTAAATAACTGTATGGTCCTATGGAATTCAGTACTTAAACTGATTTTCAGCCATTGTTCTTCCAACAAAGTTCTGAACAGCTGAATCCTGGATCAGGTCAGATGTTATTTCACTGGATTATTTAATGAATATTACTATACTAAATATAAACATGGTTATCTGGTAAGTTTCACATATATTTGTTTATACATTTTCTATGAAGGTAATCTTTGTATTTATCCATTATTACTGTGTTATATACCTAATGTGTATAACATTCATATAAACACTGCCATGTTTACCCTAAAATACACTAGGACACTAAGAGGTCCTCAAAATGCTGATAAATCCTTTAGCATGAGTTATGATATATTATCTCACATTCCTTTTGTTGGATCAGTATTCTAAATATTCTTATGAGGAGCCTCATAGCATATCTTATAAAATCCAAATTCTGATACATGCTTTTACAACAACTAAAGTGACGTTCTCAGTTATTATTTTCCTATGAATCTTTTATCACAGTGACCAAATGAAGGATATTTGACATAATCACTCAGATCATATTATGCCATTGAATCTTATCTATTAGATCTATTAGTTCTTTTTTATGAAACATGCAGAATCTCTTGTTTTATTTGTCACTCATACTTTTACATTCTGGTGCAACAGTGGCCCAGTGAAAGTGGCAAAAACTCAGTCTGAGAATCTCTGTAAATTTATAAAATGTGTACCCCCCCCCCCCGTTTTTTAACCTTCATGTATATACATCAGTTATTTATTAAGTGTAATTGGTTATATATGTAAAGTTCTGTTTATATGAATGTAAATGTGGTATTTATCCTCAGTTCATGTGATAATCTGCATGTAACCCAGAGTGCATTTAATATTTCTATGAAAGGGCATTCTATGATTGAATTTAAATAAGAAAAAAATGTTTACTAAATTTTGGTTAGATACAATTTGCTATCTTTTACAAGTCTGTCCTGTTTGTCTAAAAATTATTGATTCACTTCAGTGTAAAATGAGGTTAATTGTTTATCACTGAATATGTATGATTTTCCAGGATCAGCGGAGATGTTGTTTCACTGGATTATCTACTGGATAGACTTATTGGGCATATAGTTGAATATCTGGTAAGTTTGTCTTGTTTTTTTTTGTTTTTTTTCATTTCCTATGGTCATCTTTGCATTTAACCATGATTATATGGTTTATATATTACAGAATATAATTGTTGTGTAATACTTATGTGATCTAATGTCTCTAACAATGATATAAGCATGCACAGCCTTAATTAGCCTGAAATATATTAAGGGATCTTCAGAATGTTAGTAAGACCTTTTGCATGAAATATGATATGATTTCATAATTCTTTATGTCGGTCACCCATGGAATTCAGAATTACTAAATGGTGACCAAAGAGATATTTACAATGTAATAAGAAAAAAGTAAGAATTTACAAGAGATTAATCCTAAGTCATTTACTTTTTGTTTTGTTTCAAAATATATGTGACATGGCATACACATAGTTTCATTTTTTACACTTTCCTTTCTTAGTAAAGAGCTTTTGAAAAAAGTTAGGACTACATGTTGTACATGCTTGTAATTTTTTTTGTATACTGTACTGACAGGTATTTCAAAAATTTGAATCTGCTGTTGAAGGCAGAGATTTTAAGCACCGCCTTCAAAAATATCTGGTTTGGGTACCCCTGTCAATCAAGTGCATGAAAGTCCATCATTGGATGCTGGAACTTGATTGACATTTACTTACTGATCCCTGTGTATACCCTGTATACCTTGTATGGGACTCATGGGGAACTTCAAATTAGCTTTTGATTCTTTGATGTTTACCAAACAATGGTATAGAGAAACTGCATCACTATGAAAATTGTTAGTTTGATAATGTAAACCTTTAGTATTTGATAGAATTATAAAAATAATATGCATTTTTTTCTAAAATAACCTTTGGTATATAAAACTTTCTTTTTCGAATTAAATTTTGATATCAATTTTAATATGCCAATTTTAAATCATTATAGTAAACCTAAAGTGGAAATGTTATTGATAAAGTTCAGAGCAGCACTGTGTGAAATAATTAAAATCAAAAACATTTATAAATGTTTCTAATCATGGGTCACTATATTTTCCTTTTTTATTCAGATAAGAATTTACAAGCAATCTTTTTTAGCATGTTTCATATGACAAAGACTTATTAAGATTAGGATAAACCTAGATAATTTTTATGAAATGTACTTTTAAAACATGGCTTTCTTTTTATTTAATAAATGGGATCCTAGGGATGAATGAATTTAGTCAAATTTGGTTGTTACATGAGTTGTTTTTTTTTTAAATTATCACATACACCAACATCTAAAATAATCTTTGATGAAATTAGATATTTGAATTAATAGCATGATATCAATATATTTTTTTAAATGGAAAATAAAGCAGGAAACCTTTTTACTACTACATGTAATTTAAAATTTCTCAAAATCCCCAACACAGGTAAAGTTTGACATCTGGGTATTTCACTGTGTATTAAATCACTTCCTGTGTATAGGGATTAGGAGACAGATGGCCACAGGTAGACTGCTAGCCCCAAGGCATTCACACCTGTACAGAATAAGCCCCTCCCTCACCTGGAATTTACCACCCGGTAAAAAATCTTTGCCTTTAAGAAAAAAAGTCTTTTAATGTCTAAATAATTACTCTGATTTTTTGTTATATCAATAAAGTAATTAACAAGTGTTTTTCTAAAGACAACATGATGTACTTTTTTCATCTTGAGTAAATGTTAAAGACATTTTTACAGTATTTTTTAGAAACAAATATTTAGGTAATTGTTCAAAACAAACATTTTCTTCCTTTTTGGCATTATATTTAAACGTGCATTGTTTCATGTAATATTGTGTGTCATAATAACATAATGGTTTTCTTTCTACAGTCATCAACATTGAAGGTATGTTTTGTTCCTGGACCATCTATAATCAATTCTCTATCTGCTCTTCCTTTGGAAATACACAAACAATCAACCAACATAGAAACAAACAAACTTTAAGGTAAAGTTTTAATGGCATACAATTGTAACTTTCATTTTTTTACTATGCATGTTTATACTTTGAAATTAATTAAATTGATAAGTAAAAGATATGATTTTGTAAATCAAGAGATCTGGTTGGTTCATGGTCATTATAAACCAAATTGTTCTCCTTTAGAAGAAGAGCTCCATATAAAGATATAAAAAAAATGATCAAATTTTGAAGCTAAAATGTATGACATTTTTCTTTGCCAAATGATTGTGAACACCTTAAGATAGCTTATCTAAAAACTAAGTTATACATGGCTAATTTATTAACCCCCAGCTTCCTTAATAGCATAGTTGGTAAAGATAGAAAGTTTTATCCCCAAGTGCTGATGGAATCTAAAATTTTCATTGAATATTTACATTTTACTACAGGGAAAGAATACTATAATGTGGCCTATCAGGATGAACAGTGAATAAATCTCATTGACTCTCATGACTATGTCTAAAGGCTGTAACCTTATAGCTAATGTAAGATGATCTGATTGCATGGAATTAGAATTTCTTGGTGTTTCTATTACCCAAAATCTTCTTATGAGTGCATGTGGACCTTCTGTTGTTTTAATATACCTTGAAACATGACACTTTATTCATTAAAGGTACTTTCAGTATCATTTGTATCATTTCTATGAGCTTTTATTCTTTCTATTCATAATCTAGTAATTAATTCCACCATTATATCTCCTTTTACCTCATTAATATGTATGCTTCCAAAATCTTA